ATAATTAACCCAATTAAAAAATGGGGTACTGAACTGAACAGAGAATTCTCAACAGAAGTTCAAATGGCCAAAAGACACTTAAGGTCATGCTCATCCTCCTTAGCGATCAGGGAAATGCAAATCAAAACAACTTTGAGATACCATCTTATACCTGTCAGAATAGCTAAAATCAAAAACATCAATGATGGCCTATGCTGGAGAGGATGTGGAGTAAGGGGAACACTCATCCATTGTTGGTGGGAATGCAAACTTGTGCAAACACTTTGGAAATCAGTGTGGCGGTTTCTCAGGAAACTGGGAGTCAACCTACCTCAGGATCCAGCAATTCCATTCTTGGGAATATACCCAAGAGATGCCCAATCATACTACAAAAGCATTTGTTCAACTATGTTCATAGCTGCACTATTTGTAACAGTGTTTGTAACCTGGAAACAACCTAGGTGCCACTCAATAGAAGAATGGATAAAGAAGGTGTGGCACGTATACACTTTAGAGTTTTACTCAGCAGTAAAAAACAATGATATCTAGAATTTGCATGCAAATGGATGGAAATAGAAAACACTTTACTGAGTGAGATAACCCAGACCCAAAAAGATGAATATGGTATGTACTCACTCATATGTGGATTTTAGCCATAAATAAATTATATAGCCTATAATTCGTGATCCTAGGAAAGCTAAATAAGGTGAACCCAAAGAAAAACATATAGTTATCCTCCTGGATATTGGAAGTAGATGAGATTACCAAGCAAAAGTTGGGAGCACGGGGGTGGGGTGGGGGGAAGGGGAGATAGGGAGAGAGAAGGGAGAAGGGAAGGACTGGGGAGAGCTTGGGGGAATGGGATGGTTGGAATGGAGGAAGGGTGGATATGGGAGCAGAGAAGTAGATATCTTAATTAAGGGGTTGGTAAGAGACTTGACTCTAGAGGGGTTCCCAGGTGTCCAAGGAGATGTCCCCAGCTTTTTCCTTGGGTAGCAGAGGAGAGGGTGCCTGAACTGGCCTTATCCTACAGCCACACTGATGAATATCTTGCATATCACCATAGAACCTTATGGAGATAGAGACAGAGACCCACACTGGAGCACTGGACTGAGCTCCCAAGGTCCAAATGAGGAGCAGAAGGAGGGAGAACATGAGCAAGGAAGTCAGGACCACAAGGGGTGCGTCCACCCACGGAGATGGTGGGGCTGATCTAATGGGAGCTCACCAAGGCCAGCTGGACTGGGACTGATGAAGCATGTGATCAAACCGGACTCTCTGAATGTGGCTGACAATGAAGGCTGACTGAAAAGTCAAGAATAATGTCACTGGATTTTGATTCTACTGCATGGACTGGCTCTGTGGAAGTCTAGTCTGTTTGGATGATCACCTTCCTAGACCTGTATGGATGTGGGAGGACCTTGGACTTCCCACAGGGCAGGGAACCCTGGCTGCTCTTAGGACTGGAGAGAAAGAGGGAAGGGGGTGAGTGGGAGGGAAATGAGAGGGGGGGAGGAGGTGGAAATTTTTAATAAATAAATAAATTTTTTTAAAAAAAGGAAAATATAAAGTTCCAGAATACCCACTAGGTTACTGCAACATCACAGCAAAATGTTCTAAACTTACACAGCACAAGGAAAGAGGAGCTTAAGTGAAAACAAACAAAAAACAAAAGTAAAATCATTGATGATCAAATAATTATATAATGAAGAAAAACAAAGATAATTTCAGAAGCTTTTGAATTTAAGATTTTTTTAATGTGGGTATAACAAAGCACAAATATACAGTGTCCTATGCCAGACAGATAACATAATATACCCCAATATCATTTTTATCTTGAACACTTACCACAGGAAGACGCCCATGAACTTTATACAAATTAACAAGCACTGTAATATCCCAGGGACGCAAGGCAAGTGGATGAATCGACTTGGTTGAACTTTCATTTTCTTTTTTGTCACTGTCCACTCCAACCCCGGTCCACCCAGAACTGGAGGACGTTGACAGTGACAGGACAGGGCTGGAGACAGCCTCTTCAAAATCCATATACATGTCATCTTCTCCAAAGTAGTTCTCCTGTAAATATTTTACAAGTAAGCTGCCACTAAAAAGGTACATAATGAATCTGCTACAATTATTATTAAATAAGAAATCATTAATAAGAGATATGACTATAAGCCCTGCATTTACACAATATGCATCTTTCTAAACTGCTGTATTTAATTAAAAACATTAGGTCTACTTACATCATATGAAAAAATATATTTCTTTTAGTAAATAAACGTCCTGCATAGAAATATGCAATAAAGTAAAGCTCTTTGACAATTTACAAAAATTTAAATCCTCAAAGAGACACTGAAGGAAGGAAGAGCTCAATTGCTTTCCATCTTTGCTTCTCAGAGTCATGAGACAATGTCAGGGAAATGCTTTGAGCAAAGCAGATCTATTTTCTGGAAATTAATTTGGCTAAGTTCAATTAGATAAATATATAATTATAGATTTTCCAGTTGGAATTTTTATCAGAAATATTCAAAAGCTCTTAAGAACATTCAGCTTGTATTGTTAATGAAATGCAAACATCCTTTACCAGCAATTATCAAATTTCTTTTCAGATAGTTCACTTATTTTTATTTTATACACAAGTGTTATTCTGATTTCATCACATTTGCAAATAACATATTTTGTCTTAAGAAACAAATTCAGTTTTGATTGAAGTTCTTTTTTCCACTGAATAAATTTCCATTTTACCTATTTGATCTGTGAGCATGAAAGAAAAGCTGTTAAGTATTATCACTGTTTTATTGCTAAATATGATAACCAAGTCAGCATTTTAGCATATTTTATACTACGATTACTGACAAATTTATTTTATGACTAGATTATAAACATCTTTTCCTAGGAAAGGATATTTTTTAAGCTTATACAAAATGGAAACACTAAAATTAAAATCCTACTGCTATCTAGTGCTGTCCACCTCAAAATAATACAGATGCAACTAAAATCTTGATAATTGTTCTTATAAAACAGAAATAGAAACAAACTGAAGCAAAAAGTTATATTTATATAACACTGCTATATCTTAATTCCAACATTAAATTTTACGTATATGCATGTGTGCTACATGTGTGTAATATATGAATAAATGGTGTATGCTCATGTAGAGGCCAGAGGAGAATGTTAGGTGTCTTCCTATCCTTTAAGAACACAACCTCACTAAACTGCAGAATCACCATTCAACTAGGCTGGCTGGCCAGTATGTTTCCCTGATCTACTTGCCTCTGACCCACAACACTAGTGTTATAAGCACACACAACTGCACATGACTTTATATGGGTGCTCACAATTGCAAAGCAAGTTTTTTACCCACTGAGCCATTTCTCTGGGGAAAGAGAAGGAGATGGAGGTGGGGGGGGAACAAGAGAGAGAGAAAATAGAAAAAAGAGAAACATGAAAGGAAGAGAGAGAGAGAGAGAGAGAGAGAGAGAGAGAGAGAGAGAGAAAAGAGAAATGGAGAGAAAAAGAGAAAGAAGAGAGAAGAAAAGAGAAAGAGGGGGAAGAGAAAGAGGGGGGAGAGAAAACGAATAAAAGAAAGGAAGAAAAAAGAGAAAGAAGAAAAGAGCAAAAGAAAAAAGACAGAGAGACAGAGAAAGAAATAAAAAAAGAGAGAGAAAGAAAGAGAGAGAGAGAAAGGACAAAAGAAAGGAAAAAAGGAAAGAAAGAGAGAAGAAAGGAAAGAAGGAAGATGAATGTGTTTATTGATCAAACTCAATTCAAACTATTCTGTTTTTAAAAACACACACCATTCATTTCTTAGAGACAGGTTCAGCAGGTATGTGGCAGGCATGGAATCCAAAGAAGTATGAAGCAGATAAAAATCCTTCAGGTGATTTTATCTGTAAACAGCTTTCTGACCCAAATATCTGAGTCAACTACAAACCAACCAACCAACCAACTAGCTAGCCAACCAACAGTTTTACCCAGTTATAACACATGAACCTGGACAACCACTAGCATGGCACAGTAACTCTAAGGGTGCAGTAGTGTGGCATGTGTACCTCAGTGGTACCCAACAGCTCTCTAACTAGACTTAAGACCTGTTCAACAAGAGTGAAACCATACCTGGTAATTGAAACCTAGTTAATTATTCAGTGCTGCAAAGTCATGAATATTGGAAGAAAATCTACAGCTACAACTAAACCAGCACTATCCCTAAAAAATCTAAACATTTGTCCTTAGACCCACAGATAAGTGTAGTCTTCACCCTTCATCTAGGAAACTTGGCTTTGCAACAGATAAAGACCACTACAGAAAACCACAACTGATCAAAATAGAGTTGTGAGTCCCAAGAAGTACATCTGCTAACATTCTCCTACCTAAGGTTAAGGGAATACTGAGTAAGAAGGGAAGAAATATTCTAAGGGCCATAAAATCAGGGAGTCTGCTGTGAGTGTGTCTCCCAGTAATGCCAGAAACCACACCAGGTCTCATCAACTTGATTGCCTGAACATGAGCTAAAGAAGGACAACACAAATGAGCATGCAAAGAAGGCAGGAAAGGCCCAAGAGACCCCAATCCTATAAAAAAGAACCACAGGCAACTGAGGAATGCTGAGAGCAGAAGAAACTGTCTTCTCCAGGGAAGGACACATTGATTGATTATATTTAAAAATGTATATAAATACACATATGCATACAATAACAATTAGTGAAATAAAAGGCCATGAATTTGGAAAACAAGTAATACTGGGAGGGTTTGTAGTGAGAAAAGGTCAGGTACAAAGGTAACATTATTATAATCTTAGAGAGAGAGAAAGCCAGTTACGTTGACTCATCCAGTAATCTTAAGTACTTAGGAGACTGAGGCAGGAAGACTGCTATGAGTTCAAAGCCAGCTTAGGCTACAAGAGGAGTTCAAGGATAGCCTGGTCTACAAGAGCTAGTTCCAGGATAGGCTCCAAAGCTACAGAGAAACCCTGTCTCAAAAAACCAAAAGAACAACATCAGGAGAAAAGTTACGCCAAAAGGAAGCGGTTCTAGATTCAATCTTCATTCTAGAATACAATGAACATTTACTTAAAACTTATTAATTTGGTTTATTCTGAGATAAATTAGTTTCTGTTTGTAGAATATAGCTCAAAAAATCATAGCTAATTATGCTCAAAAATTGTATTTTTAGTTTTTATTTGTATTTCTAGTTTTGTTCTTTTTTTTTTGAAAGAGAGGCAGAGAGAAAGAAAGGTTTGTTGAGATGTAGGGAGGACCTAGGAGGAGCTCAGAGAAACCTTGTCTCGAAAAACCAAAAGAAAAAATTCTTAATACCTTTATACACAAAAAGGCGTTTAAGAGCGGTCCATAGAGAGTTATCTGAGAATCTGGGGACAGTTCCATTTCTACATGAAGTTTATCAGGTGGAAGTTCAGAGGGATCAACAGGAGGGCGTGGTGAAGTAGATGGAGAAGAAACAACTCTCTCTGATGTTTTCTGGGCTGGCCTTAATACAGATAGCATTGTTTCTTCCATTTCTGACACTAGAATAAATTGACGGAGGTGGAAAGATTAGTATGCCAGAAAAAAAGTAATGGCTTTTTAGAAGTTCTTCAAGATAATTATAAAAAATTTTACTATACTTACATAAAAATTAAATATTGTATCTGTAATATTTAACAAAAAAATATTTTTTTTGAAATATTTCAAAATATTTCAAAATATTTTGACCAATATATTGACTGAAAGACCAATAATAAAGAAAACAAAGAATTTCACTAACATAAGGAGAGATATGCATAAATTAGAATTTATGAACAGAATAAATGAAAAGCTTCTATTACATATAATATTACAAGTCCCTAAAATAGAAATTCAGGTCACAATTAGGCATCGATTATATCTATAGGCATTAAAGTTTTCACATAGTTATTTAAATGTGTGATATTATTAAATACTATAAGTATGAATAACTACGAAAACTGTTCTTTGATCATAACAAATTGGAAAATACAAAAACAAAATCACTTAACTCTTGAATTCTTTTTCTGTACTCAGAAATGTAACAAGTTAGTTTTGATAATCCAGAAATACATGATAGTTGTAAAACTCCATTAAAAACTAACTTTTTCCAATTAGTGTTATAAATACTATTTAAGACACTGTACTTTGTAGTCCAGCTTTGTTATTTTTATTTTGGTAGACCTTGGAGAAAATGTATCGTAAGTATGTTACCTGTATCACAGAGTGCTAATAAGGATTAAATGGGAAATGTAAGTAAGAAAACTGGCTGATTCAGTTTTTGATACAGACTAAATGCTCAATAAAAATTATCTATAATTATTCTAAAAGAGTTAAAAGAATACAAATTCGTATGTATTTGAGACTACATACCCGTAAATTAATTTTATCTTTTCTATATTTGATTATGTATCTATTAAAACAGCAGCTGTTTCAAAACACAAATGCTATTCAAACACTTACATGACTGTTTCAGCTGTTCATCTGCTTTTTGTGGATAAATTGGATGCCACGTATAATCAATGGTAAGCATGACACTTGGGACAGTCCAGCATTCAACCCAACCAGCCCTTCCAAATATAAACAAAAATAAAAATCTATTCAGACACTTAATCTTTAGTTGTATAAAACCACTAGTTACAGATAAAGCTTATCATTTGAAAGGAATTTCTCTACCTATTAGCTTACAAAATACTCAGACCACTATTTTTATGCTCTTACTTTTCCTGAGTAATGTTGCGCCATTTTGGTTTAACTGTTTTCTGGCCACTCTGGCACTCAGCAGGAATACCAGTTTCAGGAACCATTTTATTTGGGTGACAGTTCTTTACCAGCATAAATAATGAGTATTTGCTAGGGTGGCAATCTGGTAGAAATAAATGAAGATCAACATCTTCTCCCTAAAACATAATTTATAATAAAAAATCAGTACATAAATATGATAGCACACTACCTATACTTAAATCTATTTCTAAAATCTTGAAAACAAACTGAAAATTAAATGATAAATTTTAAATAGCATATTTAACACTGAAAAGTCAGATAGATATTTGGAATAAGATTAAACAATGACTAAAACTAAATCCTTATTGAAAAGTATAAAACAGGCAATACAGAAAGTAGTGCATAGTTTTCAAGTAACAATAAAATGTCTACCTTCAATAGTTGTTACTGGGTATTACACATACACAATTTAAGAAAATCAAAACTCTAATATGGGATCAGGTAGACTATCTTCTACAATTTCTTAACTTTTAAAATAGCTTAGCCACTAGACCTTGGTTGGATTTCATTTTTTTCTTATGGACCCTCTATTCTTTGCTTATTTCAATGCCTAGTTTCTCAGCGGGTAACACTGTAGAACAGTAGAATAGGGAGGTTAAAAGCTACATTGTCAGGGTTCAAAATCCAACATGGCAACTCACTAGCTGCATGAAAATTTACATAAGCTGTCTCCCAATTATTATGCATCTTCCCTCCTAACTTCCCTTTTAGATGGGTATAAGTAGCTCAGATTCTCCTCAATTTGTGATCGTCCTGCCTCTGGGTCCTGGATACTAGAATTACAGGCATCATGCCCAAATACACCTCAGTTTTCTAAGATACAAATATAGGCAACTACGCCAAGTAGGTTTTTTGAGAATTAAATGAGTTACTATGCATATGCCCTCTGAACAATGGTACATTTAAAAGGGGTTAATAGGTTTTAGTTGGTCCTTTTATTATTACTTATTATTTTATTCTTACTACTTTGATTCAAGTAATATTATTGATAATTAATTACCCTACCTTAACATTAGATATGTCATAAAATTTTAAGCTTAGATGTACATAATTGCTACCTCTTAGATATAATAGAGAGAAGAGAAGTACTTTATCTCTGAATTTATGGTTTATCTAGGAATTAAGAATAATAAAGAAACATAAAATTTGTTTATAGTACAGTATAGGTGAAAGAAGCTCTAACAATTACAAATGAACTCTAAAAAAATGTATTTTCTCAGATCAGTTTCTAGAGGCTGTTAGAAGGACAGAGGAGTAACACTGACACTAAAGCTATTAGTAACTGAAGGTTGCTACACTCTCACGGTGGCAAAAGGATGAACAAGAGCACATAGAAGCTCTGGGAAATCAAGTCTACTAACAAACCTCTGGAATAAACAATGCATCCAATTATACGTACTTTTAAGGAGAATCTGGTATTACATGTAGCTGGAACAAAGTCCGTAAAAGGCAAAGAAAAATCAATGTTCAATGTTTCCCCACAGGCTGCCAGATATACTATAAGAAAAAGTAAAGTAAATTTAGTTTAATGTCAACAATATTTAAAGGGCAAAACTACATTAAATGTACAACTAAATAAAATGAACTGTATGAAAGCATAAAAATATAAAAACAATTATGAAATAGTCTCAGAAGATAATATAGGAAAATCAACTCCAGCTGTTGTAAGTGAAAGAAAAGAGAAGCAGATTCATGGATAAAGGGTTGTAATGAGATAAGCCTTTAGAAGGACTTTAATAGGAGTTGTGGCCCTGAAGAAGGAGCTGCCCTAGAGAAAATACTCACCACGTGTAGCACTAGGATAGGGATGGGTATAATGGGGTGAAGAGAAGAGCTTTCAATACTGAGAACAAAGGGGATTGCTGACTTCTAAATTTTACTGGGTAGGAATTCTTTTTTTTTTTTTCAGAAAAATTGAATATTTTATTTTAATTTTTTTTTATTAAATTATAAAAGTTTCCATTTCAGCCCCTCCTCCCAACACCCTCCCACTCCCCCCACTCCCTCTCCTTCTCCCTCTCTATCCCCTAGAGCAGTCAGGGTTTCCTGTCCTGTGGGAAGTTCAAGTTTGGGTAGGAATTCTTTGCAGAATTCTATTCTTATATAAATTTGGCCTGACCTACCTGCTGGGGAGAGAGGCATCAACAGGATAAATTTATCTTGTAGGTAGAAAGACCTTACTTTTTCTGCAAAACCTTGAGTGTTCCATCACCACAGGTACCTATCAAATTTTTGTCTTAAGGGACAAACTGCAAAAGCACACTGCCTGATTTTTAGGAGACAGAAAAGAAGGGAGGGAGGAAATCTACATATTTTAACACTCATTTTGTTGGCATATCTTAATGAGTAGATTAAAAAACTAGCACTCTTACCATTTTCCTGTTGTTTAGTGGAACAGTCAATCCAGTTATGTTGATTGGCAGCCCAAATCATTTCAAATTGATGAAACATGATTTTAAAATTCCATGTGTATGGAACAAATGAAAAAATATCTGGAGCATTATCACTAGACCAGTCTTGAATCAGATCTTAAAACAGAGAACAAAAAGTAAAATTGATTAAACATGAATGCACATGTATATGTGTTTACACATTCACACACACATGCACACCCTAGTTCATCAAAAATGAATTCTTTTGTAAATTAAAAAAAATAAAATTTTAAATACTTACACACTTACTTCTTTGAATCCTCTTCTTATTGTGCTTATTTCTACCTATCTGTTAATAGGGGGGCATGAGGGGCTTGCTATGAAGTGAAAAATATCTCACTTTAATCAACTTTTTTAATAACAAATTCAGCTAAGCATGATAGTGAATCCCTGTAATCCTATGACTCAGGAGGCCAAGGCAGATAATCTGTGAGTTCCAGGCCAGCCGAGGTGCATAGTAAGACCTTGTCTGAAATACAGATGAACATTTTTCATATTTGTTCATGAAGTAAGTATCTACTGAGTACTTATTGTACGGGAACCTCTGTGCTAAACTCTGGGACTGCAATGAAATAAACAGATACAGTCATCTGAAAGTTTAAAACAACCATTAGTGCTTATGTGTTAAGCTTGAATTGCTGCTTTTTAAAGTGTTTTATAATTTTTATTTATTATTACTACTGTGTGTGATATAGGTGTCAGGCCATAAGTATGCCATAGTGTACATATGAGGATAAGCTTGTGGAGTCAGTTTTCTCCTTTCACTTTTACACAGGTTACAGGGCTCAAATTTAGATTACCAGACTGATGCAGCAGCAAGCATCTTCACATGTGGATCACTGTACTGGCTCCTAGTTGTTTCTTTTAAATTTGTCTTTATATATTTAGTCTGTTTCTCTGTTATCTTAATTTTCTTTTAAATTTAGGAAGTAAATGCTCTCATTAGGCGGTTGGTGGTACACGCTTTTAATCCTAGCACTCAAGAGGCAGGTGGGTCTTTGTGAGTTTGAGCCAGCCTGGTCTACAAAACAAGTTTCAGGACAGCCAGAGCTGTTACCCAGAAGAAGAACCCTGTTTCAAAAAAAAAAAAAAAAAAAAAAAAAAAAAAGGAAAGAAAGAAAGAAAAAGAAAAAATAAAGAAGTAAAAGTTCTGTATATGACAATACTAGATTTGAAGCACAGTAGTTTCCACAACTTGTTCTCCTGTCTTTCCGTCATTTGAATGGATTGTATATAATCATCAAGATCAGCATTTCTTGAGAAATAGCTCTATTCTTAGAGATGTCAAATTCAACTTTGTATACTTATAATACATAGAAGCCTCATACTATGTACATGAAATTAGGTGTGCATTTTTGGTTTTGATATCAGACCATAATAACTTTAAGTTTTGGCTTTATTAGCAATATAATTTTGAAAACATAACTTAAGTATTACTACTTCTCCTTTACAGAATAAAGACAAATTTCCTAACTTATTGGAAGAATTGAAATGATTTATGTGACATTTTAACAACTAAATGGCATCAAGTAAGCACTCCATAAAGTACACTTATCATTGAGACTACTTGAAGGGAATTTACAAATAAAACCTAAATATTTAATGTCACTTTGTTTTTAAAGAGAATCTTTAAACTGAAAAAATGAGTCAGAATCATTACAGAAAGCAGTCATAAATGTATCATTTGATTTCATGTAAAAATTAGCTGCCTAATCCTGACTTAATAAATAGCAATCTTAACTATAATTAATCTCATTAATAAGATAAAAATAAATCAAATAAAAGGTATGTGACTATTAACCTTTACTATTAATAGAAAAGGGAAATCTTAGTATGTCAAATTTACTTTAAATATACCTTTATTTCATTTAAAAATTACAGAGGGTAGCCACTCCTATTGCACCTATGCTTACCTTGGAAACATATACACACACTCATTGTTTTATTTTCTAACAAAGGAAGTGATTATACCAAAACTACAGGTGCAAACATCCTGTACACAAACTTCATTGTGACTGGTATACATGCAAAACATATCCACTTCCACCCACTCTCAGTTATAATCTTCCCTGTTTTACAAAGGTAGGCGTTTTCCTCAAAAACAGAAAGGAAAAAAAAAAGAAGGAAAAACATTCGAGGAGACACATAAACTTCAGTTCTACATCCCAGCCTGTTGAAGAATTCTGACTCTGTTTCTTTTTTTCAAGATTTATTCCTTCAAAATTCATCCCTGGAAATAATTAATTTCATAATAAAATTCAACATTTTCCAGACTGACTTCATCAGTTTTCTCCTTAATAAACTCTTATAGGTTCAGCATATGCACTATATATATACTATATAATTACACACACACATACACACATACACACACACACACACACACACACACACACACACACACACTATTTAACCTGTCTGAAGCTAATATAGTCATCTTTCCATAACCATAGATACGATCTACCATGGGTTGAAAAAGTTTTTCTTTGTATATGAACTAAACATGTAGAAATTTGCCTGTCATTATTCCTTAGATACTACAAGTGATTTTTTTATGAAATATCAACACTGTGATAAGTATTTTAAGTAACTTGCAGATTAATGAAGGTATACAGGAAGATATACAATCTATATGCCAGAACCACACCATTTCAGAGAAGGCACTGAGCATCTACGGATTTTGTATATACAAGAAACCAATAATCTATGGATATGAAGTAATGACTACACTGTTATTCATATCTTTTATGTGGAAGGAAAACAACCATTTCTAATGCCAGGTACTACACAAAGAAATAATTCTGAAGTTCAAACGTCTGCTTCACTAAATCTATTTTCTTCAAAGTTTTCTGGGTTTTTTTTTTTTTTTTTTTTTGGTTTTTTGAGACAGGGTTTCTCTGTGGCTTTGAAACCTGTCCTGGAACTAGCTCTTGTAGACCAGGCTGGCCTCAAACTCATAGAGATCCGCCTGCCTCTGCCTCCCGAGTGCTGGGATTAAAAGCGCGCGCCACCACCTCCCCGCTTTTCTTCAAGTTTCTAACTGTTAACTTAGAGACAATAATATCTTTTTAGAGTAATATGAAGAAAATATAAATTAATGTGTTTTGTAAATGCCAAAATGTTACATAAATCATTCATCTTATATCAAGGTTCACTTTATAAAGTCCATTTCCATCATTAATAAACCTTCTTTATTTTCTCTGATGCCTTCAGATGGTATTAATTTCTGATGTCTTTCCATCTCAGATGCATTGGAAACACCATAGTTTACTCTAGCTCAACATAAACAAGGTTTGGCATTGTTTCACTTTATGTGTAGTGTGTCTATCAATGTACTTGAGACTACTAATTAAAATAAGAAAAAACCTAAGTGATATGTCTGTAAGTTCTCTGTGGGCAGAAATCATATTCAGTAATTGTTTTAAATTATTATGTGACTTGGAATGTCTAGTAGAAGCAGCTATCTACCATCTACTTACATTGGTTAAAAGCATGACATGAAATTAGTAGAAAACAGAAATTCGAATCATTTAATAGCTCAGGAAATGAATGTAGTTTCTAAATAAATTTATTCGCCACCTTCTATTTTAACTAATCTTAATATTTTCTTCAGTAGTAACCGAAATGGTTACTAATTCCACTAATTACTAATCACTAATTTCCACTAATCACTAATTTCCACTTTAATAAATCTTAGATTTTAAAACCTTGTTTAAAATTTTATATCATCATACAATATTGTCTCCACACCAGCTTCTATGATATTTTTACTGATAAATATTAAGAATTAGGGTAAAAAATATTTTTCACATACATAACAGAAACTTTATTAAGTTTCTGCTACAAGAGACAATAACTTCAAACTGTTTAACAGAAATCCCTGTTCAACTCAGAGGCCAAATGGGTCCAAGAAGATGAAAATTAAATACTTAATCAAAGGCCCTATGACATCACCTAACACCTAACACCACAGTGGTAGTAAGCCAAGAAAGACTGCTATAGCAAGTAACCTACTGTGAATGTTAGAAGTCACACAGCAAGAAGTAACTCTGCCTTACAGAAGACTATGGTACAATAACCAGAATCTAAGAAGTGATTGCCAAAACCATTTTTATTAATATCTGTAACAAGCACTTGTTGCACTTTAATAGCACTTTTTTCTTCAGATCAAAAGCTGCTCACATTACCAGATGGTCTTATCAAACAATGTGATTAGAAAAATGAAACACTTTCTTTATGACCTAATTCATTTGTGCAAGAAATTTAAAAATCATAAAGATACTAAGTTAAAAATTAATCTGTAAAACACACTAACAACTTGCTTTAGAACTAAATTGATAACCGGGTGGTGGTGGTGCACGCCTTTAATCTCACAAAAGCTAGTTCCAGGACAGCTAGGTCTGTTACACAGAGAAATCTATTTCCACAAGAGGCTTCAGTTTCCACCTTTCTTTGACAGCTTTAATTTCTGGGGCATTGTATTTATGATAAAACTCTGCCCAAAATCCAAATTTCTAAAGAACTATTTTATCTTATTATAAAAGGCATAAGAATCATTGCTGGACTCATAGGAGCTCAGAGAGTCTGAACTGAACCAGGGAGCCTGCACAGAACCAATCTAAGCCCTCTAGATATATGTGACAGTTATATAGCTTGGTCTACTTGCAGGGCTCCCAACAATGGGAGCAGGGGCTGTCCCTAACCCTGTCTGGCTCTGGGGACTCTAATCCTCATACTGGGTGCCTTGCCCATCCTTAATACAAGTGCTTAGTCCTACAGCAACTTGATATGTCATGCTTTTTTTATTGATTTTTATTGAGCTTTATATTTTTCTCTGCTCCCCTTCTGTCTCTGCCCTCCCCTCTTCAACTCTCCCTCAAGTTCCCCATGCTCCCAATTTACTCAGGAAATCTTGTCTTGCCATGCTTTGTTGATAGGCATGGGAAGTCTGCCCTTTTCTAAATAGAAATGGGGGAATGGATTTGGGAGAGGGGCACAGAGGAAATGGAAGGAGAGGAGGGAGGGTAAACTGTGATCAGGATGTGAAATACATAGAAAATTTTAATAAAAGAAATTAATTAATAGAAACACCAAAAGAAAAAGTGAATTGCTGTTGAACAAAGGGCATTCCCTCACACCAGCTAGAGAACTTATTTCTTGTAGATTCTGTCAACAGAGAAAACTATTTAAGCACCGTGACCAAGGATATTCACTCAGGGATGAACCACTATTAATATTTAAGAAGTAGTCTTTCAATAAAATTAAATCTAAAACGTACTCTAGCAGTTACTATAATGCTGTCATGTCTTCCAGAATTAGTATAAAGTGATCAAATGTGACAGTTATCTAAGAAATGAGAACTTAAACACATTCTAAAAAAGAATGAATTAAACAGGAAAAGTATAAGAATTAGAGTGACAAAAAAGTAAAGAAAATCTGTTCTAATTAAAGAAATGTGTAATTGAGTATTTAAAAGTAACAAAACATCCAGTTTAAAGAACAACTTGAAAGAACATTTTTTTAAATCACAAAGATTTTTAACTTAACTCTAAGAAGCAGTGAAACAAATGTTGTGTCTCCATAGAGCAGCTGTTGATCCTAATAAATCAGATCAACTCTGTGGAATGAACTTCTGGAGCCAGAATCATAAAAGCTACTAGATTTGATGTAGTAGTATTAGTAACATTCATAGACCCATACTACCTGTTTTTTGTGAAATATGAATGCACCAAGAAGTTGGTTATTTTATTTCCAACTATGATGGCATTGACATAATCCACACTAACAGAAAAGTCTGAGCAGGAATTCTGAGTCTAAAACAATATATTTTACTATTTGAGTATACTGTCACAGATGATGATATAAAGCTGGAACAGGCAGCAGCCGGCTCATCAGTGGTCTATGTTTTACTAGCCTGATCCAAAGCAACAGCCTAAACTGAGTTCTTCCATTTGTTTCTAAGCTCAAAATTGGTTTAATATTTTTACTGTCATTGTTTGGAATAGATGAAAACAAAAAAAATTGTATTAAAATAGTTCCTCTGGTATTCTCAGCCTAAAACAAATTTAAAAAGCATAAACAATATCACCAAATCCCTATATTAAATATAAAAGTAAACCTACAGAACAGAAATAAGCTCATCACAATAAATCACTATATTTACCAAAAAATACCTGTAAAGAAGTTCTTCTGTGCAAAGATGAAGTGGTAGGTGGCTTTATAAACCTCTAATTCACACTGCCAGGTCTGTGGCATGTTCCAAATTCTGGGGTAGCTGGCATTGATGTGAAACTGCAAAACAAATGTTAAAATGTGACAATGCTAACAGCATTGGAAATGAAGTCACACACACTAGTGAGTAATTAAAATTTATTTTCCCACTGAGCTGAACAGAAGGTGTCTGAGACTTTTAAAACTGTTGTAACACAGCCAGTAAAATAAAAACAAGAAAAAAATGTCAATGAAATTATTCTAATGATACTCTGCTATACTTCTATACCAGAGTCTAGCAAAATTGTCATCAGAGAGGCTTCATCCAACAAGTGATGAGAACAGATGCAGAGACCCACATCCAAACACTAGGCGAATTCTGATGAAGGCTGCAAAGGACTGTGGGAGCCAAAGGATCCAATACACACACACACACACATACACACATACACGCAAAAACAAACAAACAAACAAACAAAAAACCCAGCCCACAGAATCAACTAAACAGGGCTTATAAGGGCTCACAGAGACTGAACTGACAGAGAGCCTCTATGGGACTGTCCTCTGCATACATTATGGTTGTGTAGCCTGGTATTCTTGTGAGACTCCTAAAAGTGAGAATGGGGGCTATCTCTGACATTTTTGCCTGCTTTAGGGACTCTTCCTGCTGTTGGACTGCCTTAATATGTGGGGGTGCGCCTACTCTTATTGTGACTTGTTGTTGCCATCTCTGGTTGATGTCCCTGGGAGGCCTGCCCCTTTCTGAAGGGAAATGAAAGAAAAGTGGATTGGGAGAAGGGACTGGGAAAAGAAGAGGGAGTGGAAACATTGATTTGAATGTAAAATATGAGAGAAAAATAAAAGTAAATTTTAAAAAAAAAAAAACTTGCTGTAAAAAAAGGTCAGTATTCCTGGTCAATATTCACATCTTTGAAATATTAAGCTTTGATGTAGTCAAAATTTTCTGAGAACAGACTCATGCTCTAGTTTAAACCAGCTAATTAATGTAGCAGGTAGCAAACCATGCCCCTAATTCCTCCTCTGTTAATGGAAGAAGGGTGAAATACCATGCACACCATCATACAACCTGATCCTGCATTTCTGCAAAGGAAAAAGCTGCCTGCTTAGGAGTAGCAGTAATGTTTTACATAGTCCTATTTATCAGCAATAGTTTGAGAATTCTAACAAGTGCTGAACTATAAGGAATACTGATTTTGATAGATTTTAAGGCTAGATTTTATGTAATAACAGATTTCTGTTATAATTTTATATTATTCATATATTAAGAAATGTTTTTATACCTATGAAATATGAATGCTCCAAAAATAAGGGTTTTTTCAACAATGATGGCATCAACTTAATTCATGTCAACAGAAAAGACTGCACACTGACTCTCAGGCTAAGCTAACAAACCTGACTATTTGTGAATGCTGTTGTAGATAATTATAATATATAAATATATATGTGAGTTGTTCTTAGTAATTGTGAAATTTTCTTCTATTTACTTGTAGGTTATGTGTAAAATGTTAGCTTAAGGCAAGTAATTAAGAAGCTTATGACATCATCTTATATAAATGAATCTTCGGTGAATACCAACCATTCTAAACAGTGGGTTTTTGTTGTTCTTGTTGTTGTTGTTACTGCCTTTTCTTTTTAAGTTCCAGATTAATGAGTATCTTAATCTGAAATTTAAACTACATGTACTGTCAGACAACCCAAGGTACCATACTTAGTCACTGACTTGACAAAGAATAAAATGTTAAGCTCTGAGAGAAAATCCAACAAGGTCAATACATGCTCAAAAATTATTTTATTTATAATTTAGGAAAAACATATGAAGTTGAAAATTAGCATTCGGACAACTTTTCGGGCCTTCTACTCACTTCCTATATATTAGAAGCAGAGCAATAAGCCTGGTGGCAGGGTGGGGAGGTAGCATATGCCTTTAATTCCAGCACTTGGGAGGCAGAGGCAGGTAGATCTGTGAGTTCGAGACTAGCCTGGTCCACAAGGCAAGTTCCAGGACATCCTGGGTTAATACAGAAGAACCCTGTCTCCAAAAATTTGAGGGAAAAAAGAAAGAAAGAAAGAAGGAAAGAAAGAAAGAAAGAAAGAAGGAAGGAAGGAAGGAAGGAAGGAAGGAAGGAAGGAAGGAAGAAAAGAGGGAGCGAGGGAAGGAAGGAGAGAGACAAAGAGAGAGGGAGAGAGGGAAAGAAGGAAGGAGCAAGTGAGGGAGGGAAGGAAAGAAGGAAAGAAGCAGGGCAATAAAGGAATGCAAAGGCAGTACACGGTATTTGGAATTAACTTCTCTTCCCTAGTATGGTATAACTAAAATACCTACTTGGCAGTTCTTAAATAAGAAAACAGATAATTTTTAATTTTATACTGAAAAATTGAAGCCAAATTTATAACCACTAAAAGGATGCATTCATATATTTAGACTTACTGCTAACATTTCTGCTTCTAACAGGGTTCGATACTGCATGCTGGTAGTAGCATCAACATGTAATAGTTGTCCTTTAATTGCAGGGGTGTAACCTAGAAAATAGAAATATAAAACGTAAGGACTAGAATAAAAACTATACAATTATAATTTTTGTGCTAAAACCAACTCAAAAAAAAAAAAAGCCCTGAGAAGAAACAGCTTAGGCATTCTTTAGTGAAAGAGTTTGCTAATATAACAAGGGATCCTTCAAGGATTAGACAGCTCTTAGTAACATCATCACCATTGATATCTACTCTAGTTTGCTTTGGAGTATGAAACCAGAATGCTCTCTCAGTATCCATTCAGGATGGTTCCAAGATCCCATACTTAAACCAAAATCTATGATGTTCAAGACCTTTATGTGAAATGTCAAAGTATTTCACATTATTTCATACATCTTCCACATATGCCAAATTATCCCACATTACCTACACTTAATATTTAATACAATGTAAACACTACATAATAACCACTAAACAGTACTGTTTAGGGAATGACAAGGAAAAAGTATACAGTACAAACTCACTCTACTTAAATATTTTCATATTGAAGCCTATGGATATGAAGACTGACTGCATATGTTTACTCTCTAAGAAATACTTTTTTTTATTTTATTTACTCATTATGTATACAGTGCTCTGCCTGCATGTGTTGCTGCAGGCCAGAAGAGGGCACCAAATCTCATTACAGATGGTTGTGAGCAACCATGCGGTTACTGGGATTTGAACTCAGGAGCTTTGAAAGAGCAGGCAGAGCTCTCTTAACCACTGAGCCATCTCTCCAGCCCAAGGAATACTTTTCAAATATTAACACAAGTTCCATACTTTTACTTTATTCACTGACTCACGTGTATTATTTTTTCATCACTTTTTTCAACTACTCCCTATATAACTACAGTTGCCAAATATCATCTATTTCTCTTATATTGGTATATGTCTGTGTGGAGGTCAGAGGGTACCCTGTGAAAACTGGTACTCTCTTTCTAGATTATGGGTGTTTGGAATACTGATTCCTCAGATGAAATTATAGCTGTAAGAGAATTATTTAATATTTTAAGTATGCGGTTTTTTTTTCCTTTCTCACAGTTACACTGTTCTAAGTACCCAGCTTAGTCTATGAAAAAAATATCTATTAATGTCACACCCTAAAAAAAAATTGTGCCAGGCAGGGGTGGTGCACACCTTTAATCTCAGCACATGAGAGGCAGAGGTAGGTTGATCACTATGAGTTTGAGGCCAGCCTGGTCTACAGAATGAGTTCAAGGACAGTCAGAGCTGTTACACAGAGAAACTCTATCTCAAAAAACAAAAAAAAGTAAAAATTTAAGCCTATTTATCAAACAATTACTGTTCAAATTCCAGGATCTGAAGTAAATACGAGACCTGTGAATGAAACAGTATCCACTCTTACAGTACCAAAGCCTAACTAGAAATATTAAGCAAATTATCAGACCTAAAAGAGATGTGTACAATAAAAGAAAAATACAGAACTACTTTTCTAACAAGTCAAAAATTGTTCTTGCTAGATACTCAAATATTATGTAATTACTTAAAGTACAGATACATTGAAATGTAAAACTATGCCCTCATCTGCTCAAGGATATTTCAAAAAACTTACAAATAGGACTATCACATGACCCAGCAACCCCATTATTGAGTCTATCTCCAAAGACAATGAATAAGTGGGCTGAAGAACCATCTGCGTGCCCATGTTCACAGTAGCACCATTCACAAAAGTCATGACATGAATACAAACTAAGTACAGTATCCATTAACTGATGAATGAACAACAAAAAAAGGTACATATGTGAAATGAGAATCTAGCCACTAAGAAAAAAAGTTGAATTCTTATCAGATGATAAGACAAAATGGCTCCAAATGAAAGTCATTATGTCAAGTGAAATAAGACACACAAAAAAAGGATGTGATCTTATTAAATGATCTCATTAATGCATGCAACCTAAAACAAGAAAAGATAAACACTGAGCTTATAGAAGTTGAGAGCAGAATGGTAGTTACTCAAGGCTAGGGGGAATACTGAGAAAGGAAGAGTTAGGAGTGGGCGAACAAGGACTACTAAGTTATAGACACAAATTATAGGCTGATCCACAGATAATGAGAATGCTATACACTTCAAAAAGCTCAAGGAAAGCCTGTCAGCATGGTAGTTCCAACCTGCAATCACAGCACCTGGGAGTCTGAGGAAGGAGCATCTCAAGTTGGGGACAAGCCTAAGCTACATAGCAAGTCCCTACTCAGCATGGTCTACATAATGAGATACTGTCTCAAAAACATAAGTGTAAAACTAAACAAAAGGATTTTAAATTCTTTTACCACACAGAAGTTATAAATGTAGAAACATGTTTACTTTGACGTGAACATTATAAGTCTATATACATGGGTTCAAATATCACATGACACCTCATAAATAAATACACTTTTATGTATCAGTAAACAACTAAATTATATGTAAATTGAGAGACAAAAAAATTAAAAATAAAACATTACTACTATTAATCGGGAGAGGCTAACAACTACATTACCATATTAATCATGTCACTAATCATTTCAGGCAAAATAATGATAACTTACCATTTTCTTCAACTGTCATTGGAATATTAATTTCTAAATATGAGCCGGCCCCTACATTTACATGTACAGCATTTGTTTCCTACCAAAAGAACAAGATTAATTACATGAGACTTATTGTATTTATATTCCTATCATATTACTTTTAAATTATCAAAGAAATATAATTAATAATATGAAGTATTAAAAATTTAGAAAAATGAAGGTTCAGATTTACACCAAAATTATACTAAAACAATATAACAAAATACAAAGGAAAAATTAGAGATAACTTAAAAGTTCACTGTTATTACTATTAATCATTATTAATTTCTTTTCATTATTTAACATTTAACAAAGTATTGTAAACATAAAATAAAAATGAAGCTAAGCATAGAATTATGACCCAAAAATACTCTAAAAAGAAATTTTCAAATTTTAAACATTATTTTCTACTATCTTACAATAAATACCCTGTTTTTAGTAAACAGCAAGTCAATGGTAGCATCTGCAATAATATTCATTCGTAGTTCAAATGCAAGGATCTGTCTTGGCCTCCCAGGCTGTGCGATCTCAGAAACTTTCAGAACTTGATAGTCAGGTGGAAAGAAAAACTTCCATAAACAATCTCTACATATCAAGAAAAAGGAGTAATGGCATGTTAGTCAAATACAAACATCTTTGATAAGGGGCTAAAATCTTATTTTAATCTTTCATTGCTATCTCATTTGACAAACTATTTTTCAGTATCTTATAGATAACAATAAACTTTGAACACCTAATACACTATTATTGAGTGAAATATGGGCAGGCCCCAATCTAAGTGTATATGAGTTGTAAAAACAGACTATAAGCATATCAATTATGTAAATGATCAAGAACTGAAGAAAGATAACTTAATTCATCATTTCTCCTTAAGCAAGTGAATTAATCTTTCTGAGAAAACCTGATCAGTTTCCTTGTGTATAAAAATAACTTATCTCAGAGAGTGGCACTGAGGATTAAAAAATACTTAACAGTGTGTGATGCATGGAAGAATTTTGTATTACTGTCACAATCATTTAAAAAATTAACTTTATTTTTATTTTATGTGTATGGGTATTTTGCCTGCACATATATCTGTGCATTTCATGGATGCAGTGTGTGTGAGGGATTAAAAAAAAAAAAAAGCATAAGATCCCCTGAGACAAGTTATAAACAGTTGTAAGCCACTATGTGGGTGCTGGTAACCCCAAGTTCTCTGCAAGACTAACCAGTGCTCTGAACCACCAGATCATGTCTTTTAATCAACATAATATCAATGAAAGAACAAAGAATAACATATTCTAAAAAGTAAACAAATATTTAGTCGCTGAGCCTAATATATGTCTCTCTATATCATTTGACAGGATGAAAGAACTTAACAAATGTTCAACTCAGAGTCTTCTATATGGGCCAACATCAGTTTAGTGTATGTTCAGAGAAGGTAGCAGTGCATGTCTTTTAAATAATAGGGTTGAAGGAGTCAGTAGTGACAGTAAAGACTACTTAAAATAAGAGACTTGGAAAAAGTAGATGAACAGAACAAAATCTGAAAACTGAGATTCACAGAGTTAAACTTATCATTACATGAAAATGCACAAAAAAAAAATCTGCAAATGTCCTGAGACTCACAGCACACCCAGAGCTACAGGCATTAGGCTGAACTGGAGAGAATACTGACTAGAAGAGCTGATCTGAACCATGGCTCTCACTACTGTTTCAATACCTTCCCCACATCACACAGCCATCTTTCCATGAAAGTAAGGTACCCGTATGAACAAAGCACACTGAAAAATAAACCTTTGGATTTAAAGAGCATGAGATTTAATGAGCTCTGAGTCTAATTTTTAACAACACTGGCGTTCTCTCTCAGCAAGGGAAAACATGCTAGAGAGAGTTGTAAAAGTGAAGTTCTATTGCATATAAATGCAGTATCATTTCTCTAAATAATACTAAGATTGGTTAATCTCTAACATGAGTTTTTGTGTCAGGCGTGGAGGCACATGCCTTTAATTACAGCACTTAGGAAGAGGCAGATGAATCCTTTTGCATTTAAGGTAAGCCTGGTCTACACAGGTCCAGGAGGTCAGCTATGTAGAGATTCTGTCTCAAAACAAAATTTAAAAAAAAAAAAAGCTTATAATGAAAATTTAACTTGGGCTTTTGAGTAAATGTGTGCTGATATTTTTAAGTGTAGCAAGATTAAATATAATTTAAGAAGAATTATGGTTTATTTAAGGAAAAAAAATACAAAAACATTTCAGTTATTTTCCTAATATAACTGTTCACCAGGACCCCCCCGAAAAAGACTAATTTCTCCTAAGATTTCTGAATACAGTTCAAATAGAGTTAGCTTATTACTTAATAGAAACCTCTCATTATAAACTGATGCCACAGTGATAACAGCATCATTAAACTAAAAAAAGAAAGGAAAAAATACAATAAGAGGAAGATTAAAATCTAATAACATAAAGAGTCTTTGCTTTCAAACCTGAAATTTTAGGCTCCATTGATGCTCAAATTTAATAATGTAGCATAGTAATTATAATAACCTATTTCCAAGGTTTTCAAAAAATTTATTCCAGATTTTGAACAACTGTTCAACAATGACTTACTGAGGCATGTTATTTCAATATACCTGAAATACTGATGACATGAAAAAAACATACTGAACAATCAAGCAGGAGTGTGTGGCCCATTCCAGGCCTGAGCCAGTGGCTCCTCCCAGATTTCTTGGTCAGGCACCATCACACCAAGCACTACCTGAGGGTTCTAGGCCTAGCCATGTGAGAAAAGAAAAGCAACAGCTCCGAGCCAAGCCTTGTGGCTAGGGCAGGCAAGACTCAACCAAGTGCCACCAATCAAGAGCCCTGGCACAGAGTGAATGGGCACCATTATAGTGAGTATATGGTGGGGAAATGAAAGAGGCAGAATGGTTCAAGGGGCTGTGTTTAGAGGTAGATCTGAAGAGGTGAGCATGGTAAGGAACAGGCTGATGTGAATAGCCTGTTAGTCACCCAAGTCCAAGGTGATGACTGAGCCTGGTTTATTGCCAAAGGCCAGGTCTGGGTCTGAGGCCCTGAAGCAGCCATGAAGGGAGCCTGTGTTGATGTCTGTGACTCCTGTCGCTACTGAGAACCATGAAGAGGCCTATAGATGAGAGCTGGCCCCAGGGTCCAAGAGTGAGAGAACTAGTCCTGCCCCTCACCAGCTATAGCACACAGGAGAACTGGCCCTGAACCCTGCCAGGGCAGCACACTAAAGCTGACCCTGTTGTTGGGGGAAGGAGAAGAGCAGGTGAGTCAGCCCTAAGGGTGCCAGAGTAGGAGAACTGACCCAGCCTCTTGTGCATCCCCTGCAGCAATTGTGAGAAAGGACCCTGCACCTAGCCTGGCTAAAACAATAGGGCTGGCCCTGGTGGTGTGAGTGTAGGTAAGCCAAATATGAGGAACCTGAGGCAGAACTAGTCCTGCTCCTTGCTGCAGGCTGCACTGGGTGAGCTAGCTCAGGCAGTGCTGGAGCGCTCACCCAGGTAGTGTTGATGAGGTAAAGCTAGCAAGCTGACCAATCCAGCTACCACCCAGGCCAGAACCAGGGTTGAGTTGGTCCACCCTAACACCCACCTCATCTGTGAACTGTGGGAGCATGTGAAGGGGACAAATCTACTGATCCAAAACTGCAGGATCTCCACAACATAGGATAACAACAGGATGTCCAAGAGGAGCTCCAGTGAGAGCCCAGTATCTGTGGCATAGAGAAGCCAGAGGCCTCCAGCCAGACAGATGACGCATGGCAAGAACACTTTAAGTGAAGGTGAATGAACTAAAGGGTAAACTGTGTGACTCAACAGGTCACACTATGGCTTCCACAACAAGATTCTTCTACATTTTTGTTATTGTTGTTTTTATTTTGTTTTGCTTTTTTGTTTTGTCTGGCTTGGGTTTTCTTTTAAATTTGGTTTTCTTTTGAGGGGAGGCTGCAAGAGCAGAGAAAGGATGTGAGGAGATGGGAAGATGATAAAAGTAAAAAAACAAACAACAAAAACCATATGCTGAGAAAGAATACTTGCCTAGAATATATTGGATCCTGGTTTCATCTCTAATACCATTTTTTAAAAAGAAGACAGACCATATTACTTGACAGTGTGTAATTTTTCTAACAATACTAGGTAGGGAGCTCATTTGAAAGTAAAAATTAAAAAAAAAAGCCAATGTATCAAGAATTAATTTCAGCACTCCTTCATCAACAGGTTAAAAGTACCTGATTCACTGAGGGACTTGGCTTATCTCTCTTTTTTGAAGAAAACTAGATCATAAATACAAAACTAGCCTAATTTTAAATAATGTCTACTCCAATTTCTCTCTCTCACTCCCCCCCCCCAACTGAAATAAGGTTGCTCTATGTAACAGTCCTAACTGTCCTGGAATTTGCTCTGTAGACCAGGCTGGCCTCAAACTCACTAAGATCCACCTGCCTCTGTCTCCCAAGTACTGAGATTAAAGGCGTGAGCCACCACCACCCAGTGTCTACTCTAATTTCTCAATGTCCCCTAATAATCAGTGCTAAATGTCTCCTAAATTCTTGAGCAGTAGGAAATTGGTCATAATATATTATAAATAAGTTATTTTAAAATTAATAGAAGACTAGTTTAAAAACCGTCCAGGTAAACAAGTACGATACTGAAGAGTATATATAGTTCCAGATACTCAGGACACTAAAGCAAAAAGATCAGTTGAACCCAGAGTTTAAGACCAGGTTGAACAACAGCCCCACCTTAAAACAAACACATAGGCAAACAAAGCCTTTCAGGTACTCCTCATTACTATAAAACCCATACCTGCATTTATCTATTAATTTATTTCTTTCCTTAAGGCCTTGCACATTAGGTAGGCAAGCATTCTAACGTTTATTTAAAGCCTCAGTCCCTGGCTTTCTAATTTGGGAGAGGGGTCTCACTTCATAACTCAGGTTGGCCTCCACCTCCCAATTCTCCTACACAGACCCCTCTGGCACGCTGAAATGACAGGCATGAATCACTGTACCTGGCCATGTATCTTTAGTGCAGAACTCTGAACTACCTTAAAGACTGTCAGGGCAATTTTTTACTGTCTATTCATCTTTCCTTGATTAGTCATACCCCTTTCTTTCACCTCGCAAACCTCTACTTACCTTTCATAAGCCATACTCACATTCCCTCTAATAAGGCCTTCTGTATTCACTATGTTAATCTTTAATGTGCATAGCTTGTTACAAGCCAAACTGTACCCTAAAAATTCATGTTTAAATCCTAAGTTTTAAATCCTTTAATACATGGTGTGCTGGTGTGCTCCTCAAGAAAGAGATCAACAGACTCTGAGACAGGGCATGTCAAAAGAGGAGCCAACATACATTGCCTTAGCTTCAAAAAGGGGCTGGGACACATCCACCTCTCATGATGCTCAAAAAGGATCAATATTGCTAATACTTCCAAGTGTGACTCTTGAACTCCAAAACTTGATTAAACAAGGTTCTGCTGCTGAAGCAATATCCCAGCAATATTTTACTATTTAATCCTCAGAAACCGCTACTATCTTTTCAAGCCTGTCACCAAGACCCTTCCCCACTTATCATGGCTTCACTAAAGCTATTTCAGTCTTTCATTTCTTAATCTATATTCCCCAAAATCCCTGACTAACATAAGGTCAGTAAATAAATCATAAGTACAAAAATAAAACAAAGGAACCAGTAAGTAGGCTGCTCGCTAGAGTTGGTGGTTTCTCCACAAACAAGTTATTAACTGGATCAAGTGTTTAGTAAAAACTTATTTTGCTACAACATAATAGTTTACAAAAATTTAGTAATGGGAGTTAGTGTGATGATTCAGTTGTTAAGAGCACTTGATGCTCTTCCAGGTGACCTGAGTTTGGTTCTTGGCACCCATACCAGGCACCTTACAAATGACTGTAACTCCTGCTCCAGGAGATCCTCTGGCCTCCACGGGTACCTGAGCTCAGGTGCACACACCTGAGTGCATATGGATACATAAGCATACAGACACACATGAATGCACATAATTAAAAATAATAAAGATGTTTTCAAACATTAAGTTGGTACTCAATAAAAACTAAAATAAAATCTCAATATACTTAAAAAAAACTATTAGAAATATAATTTACTCAAATACCTCTGTCTGTCAGCCCAGGGTCCATAATTAAAATCTGTTCCTTTACCACAGACAATATCTAATCCCCAGCATGGAGGTAAGTCTTGTAATTTGCAATCTTCACTGCTTATTTCTCCTTCTAGACTCTCTTCTGTTTCTTCTGGAACAAGTCCTACGTTCCAAAATATAGAAAGCAATTTAGTTAAAACCACCTTTAAGAAGTTTCCTTATATTAGCAGTTCAAATATTTTAATCTCACATAACCTTACACCTAAAAATTTAAGAGTTCCAGAAAGGTTGGTGGTTTTTCTTTTGTTTGTATATTATATATCAAATTTATTATATTCAAAATTAAAATTCCATGATTTTAAGGTTTTATTTAAATAAACGTACTGTTTATTTACATAAAGAATAACTTTTAAAAAGTATAAAATAAATAACGTAACTAATTAAACTTAAGTTTTCATCTCAAGAAAAAATTTTTAAAAAACTGTATTTTCCAAAACAATTTAGTGAGAACGTTTTGAATTGCTCTTCACATCAGCAGGTATCAGTGTCCAGACAAACAGAAAACAGATTCTCATAGCCACTCCACACTAGATAATATTGTTAAAGAGTCTGAAGCAATCTGGCCTTATGTGTAGCTAGAAAAGGAAGAAACATTTCAATAGCATACACATATCTATATAGATATAGATAATATTCTCTGATACTTGAGCAAAATTCAACAAATGACACTTCAAAAGATTAGAGTGTAGTAATGAAACATTATTAAAATTTTCAAACTGTCTCAAATTAAAATCTACTGCTCTCTCTTGTATTCTGAGTGAATCTTTTGTTCATGAATGACTCTGTAAAATTATATACTGATTATATAGAAAACAGTGGTTCATTATGTTCATTTTTATAAAAATTGGTAAATTAATTATTAAACTTTTCCTAAAACCACATGTTATTATCACTAACAGTTTCATTAGAAAAGTTGTGAATACTGAGATGCTGTCATACAGCACCAAAGTTTCCAAAACTCTCATTTTCACATGAAAAACTATATGGTTTGTCTTGAATTATTCTTTCAAGTAAAATCAATGTTCCGTGAAGAAAAGCGAGCAGACTTATGACTCAATCAAGTGAGTGCTTTTTCTGAACTCTTGCAGCACAAGTGTTTCATGACACTTCCTTCCCAGTTCATCATACCAAGGGCAAAGACTACTTCTAAAAAGGTAATAAAATTGACATTTTTTATGGTTTCAACAAGGAATTCTTTTGAGAGTTGACATTTTCTGTTGAACCACAAATGTGTGGTGTTGACTTCTGAATACTATTGCTTCTACAATGTCATGACCAAGGGACAAGGATCCTGGTCCTGTACTGAAAACACTGCGACCACACAAACTCTGGGAGGCAAAAAGAACAGAAGCATGACAAAAGAGCTCAAACAATCCAACATTAGGAACTTTTCTCAAATGGAAGCCATCTATCAAACAATGAGAGTAGCTAAGTCTCAATTTTTAAGTTGTGAAGTTAAAATGTAACAAATTGTGATTTTTTCCCCCTCTGAGTTAAGACAAACTCCCCTGTTAACACACATCCCGAAGGTTTTTCTTAGGGTTATTTGTTTGCATTATTTTTGAAGTACATCTATGAAATGCAGTCTGTAGGAAAGATTAGTCTACAAAACAGTAATGCAATACTCAACTCTTAAGACATGATACCTTTTTTTTTGGAATTTGACACTCTCATAGTCATGTTTAACATTTACTGATGCTAACTTTCAGAAATTCTGAAATATGTATGCAACCACATGTCATAGAAGAAACAGAACCAGCCCTATGAGACATACTTTCAAAGAGGACATACCTGGCTCATCCATATAATAGTAGATGTCAACATCATTTGACTGCATCACCACAAAACCCTCTCCCATTAGTCTTGGTGGTCTATGAGAACAAGTGTTAAGCACAACAAATAAATTAAAAAATATATCTTAGACTACAAAATGGTCAGCACTCTAGTGAACAACAGTTAAGAGTGAAGAGAAAAAAGGGGGGCAAACTATAAAGTTCATGACAGATTGGATCTTTTTGTTTTGTTTTGGTTTTTCGAAACAGGGTTTCTCTGTAGCTTTGAAGTCTGTCCTGGAACTAGCTCTTGTAGGCCAGGGTGGCCTCGAACTCACAGAAATCTGCCTGCCTTTGCCTCCTGGGTGCAAGAGATTGTATCTTAAAAAAAAAAAAAAATTTCACACAAACACTGTAACAAATGTAACAAGTTACTCTAGTTGTATACTATATCAGGTTAAGTGATAAAATGACCCTGAAAATTTATTGATAAATTAGTTCAGGAAAAAGACAAACTGGCTTATAGTCCTCACTTTAGGTTTTGAATGAGATAAATCTATTTAAAACAGAGGCTAAATACAACAATAATTAAGAGTAAAACCAAGCATAGCCACTTGGAAATCATACAAAGGAAACCCTTTCTACCATGCTAGCCAACCCTGGAAATTTTAGTTGAGTGTCAGCTAGGACTTAAAATTTGCTTTTCATAATTTCATAAAAAATTTACATTGCTGATATAATTATGAAAAAGCTGAAATATTACAATATAAATTTTATATGTATATACTTAAAATTATACAACTTCAGCAAGAGTTCTTATCATAAAAATAAAAGAGACTGAGAAAGATTGGGAACTGTTATTCTAAAAACACGTGACATGGTGTCTGGTAGGAGTTAATAAAGGGCTATTTCCTCAGGGTCTAGTCAATTCCTGAATAAACGTCTCACCACACTGATGAATATAATGCAACGTACTTCTAAATAAAACAGCTATTTGAGCACAGGGAGAAGTTGAAAAGCTAGACAGGAAAAGTCAAGTGGCTATCTCAAAATTGGACCACTCTACCTTAACCAATTTTTCCAAGAGAGAGTTGTAATTAATCCCATCAATATATTACTTATCCTAGCCTTCTAGATATAAAAATACACCTTTAATGGGCATGTCCTAACATAAATATCAGAGCTTAATTTAATCCAAAATAAATGAGAAGGTAAAAAAAATTATCATTATAATCATACAGAAACATATTGAAAAGTATACCTATTACTTTTCACACAAAAGTTCTAACAGATTGAAAAATATATGTGATTGCTGTACAACTTCTACTACAGAAATGAGAAGGATACTACAGGCTCCTTATATTAGCTATAAAGAAGTTACTATTTTTATGATGTTTTCTTACTCATCATTTTGTAGACCAACATATCTTGGACTAGGAACAAGCATTACTCGAACATTTTCAAGCTTTCCTTTCACAATGTGCATGAACTGGTCAAGATGACTTGAAGGTGGTTTTGTAGTGTAAGTTAAGAAAGCATCATCAAAGTTGATGCACAGAGTCTGAGGTTGGTAATGATTCCCAAAGGCCAAACGTCCCTAAAAACATAAAAGAGATACTATGCCAGCATAGTCTAGTCATTGTTTTTACTTAGCTGACCTAATAACCAACATTCTCAAGCAATAACTGATTCAATTTTAACTGTATATGCTATTTAAATCATTATTTAAAATAATCATTTATTTAAATCAATATTCAAAGAAAATAAAGATAAGTTTAGAGTAACTTAACCACTTGTAAACAGTCCTTCAGGTTTAATAAGTGCCTAAATACACAGCTGGTGTTAAAACAGTTCATTCATACCCTGCAGAAATAGGAACTAAAATGTGCAAAAAAAATTTATTTTCTTACATGGACTTTGTATTTGCAAATAATAATAAGTTCTATGGGTTAATGTGTCAAACATTGACTCAAACATAATTTACTTACTGTGCTCACGTTGACCTTAATAACTGGGATAAGTGATCTCCACGAAGATGTGGGGTCTTGAGACTCTGTTTTTACTTTAACTCTGATGAGAAAAATAAAACTGACATGAAGAAAAACTTAAGGGTATAAAATTAAACTTCCTCATAACATACAAACATTATGCCAACTGCATTTTCCAAAAACATCTAGTGAGTATTTAAGTAAACAAAACAATTAACATGTGAAAATATGTTTATAGGTATATTATTAGGTATTTATTAGGGATATTAGGTAATATATCTTGGCATGTACTTTTTCATGCTTTTTTACAAGCTATAATGAGAAACTATCTTTCTATAATAACACTCTAGAGTAGAATATGACACCATTATTGTACTGTGATACTCATTTTATCATCCCACTTTGTAACACAACAAAGTTAATCAGCTATGTGATTTATATAATCAAGGTATAAAGTCAGTATTAATTTTCATCACCTCTGGCCCCTGGTAACCACAATTCCACTCTATTTCTTTGAGTTTAAGATTGGGGGAGAAGAGATCTATGTTGTTGGTTTCCTTTTTTAAAAAAAACTTGTTTTTAAGAGTATTTTTATTAATTCTTTGAGAAATTCTGTTTAGTTTTGTTTTGAGAAAGGGTCTTACAATGTATTTTTGGTGGAAAAACAAAGGAACTTCTCAAAGATTTAAGGTTAAGAGCACTGCCTGATCTTCCAAGGGTCCTGAGTTCAATTCCCAGCAACCACTTGGTGGTTCACAACCATCTGTAATGAGATCTGGTGCCCTGGTCATCCTCATCAACTTAGATCAAGAAACCCAATACGAACAGGTTCAACAGAATTGCCATATATGGGCTGTCCATGCCCACTTCAGCATTGCCAGGGCATACATTTCATTTCACTCTTACTATGTAGCTGATCTCACATTCACATTTGTCCCTTAAGCCCAGCTGAGCTCAATTATTTTAAACTCCACATATAAACAAGATTATGCTGTATTGCCTTTCTAGTCTTGGCTTATTTCATAATATCTATTTTGTTGCAAATAATATTTCCTTTTTTAAAAAAGGGGATTAATATTTCATACAGTGGAACAATTTTCAAATTAAAAAAATAAATAAAAGGAGAATCTGTGTCTAAAACACAACAGTAAGTTAAAAATACAATGAGCTTCATTTGAAATAATAGTTTGATTTTTAAAAAGAACTCCTGAATAAAGCTTTTAATTTAAGTAACTTTAATATCTCTAGAAAGGGTACACAAGTCATTTCATTTACTAATCATTTTCTAATTGTGACTTATTTTCCAAGACTCATAATAAATTACTATGTATTGAACACTGTGTTGACTCCATTATTTTCTAAGTGTCTTCTTGAAGATATTTCTCTTTCTATAACAGATTTCCTTTTCTGTATGTGTTCCTGTTCTGTCTCTTGCTCTTTCAAAAACATACATATATATAAAGATAACTGATAATGATATATTTTTATGGCAAATACAGAATATTCTATTTTCCATTGTGAAATTGTTATATATTTAAAGTATACAGATACAAAAAGATTTAAATATATATTTCCAAATAAAGAGCAGATTACAGGGTTGGGAATTAGCTCAGTGATAGATTGTTCACTTAGAATGGGCAAGGCATTAGAATGGGTTCAATTCCTAGCACCACCAAGAAGGAAGAACAAAACAGAACAGAACAGAAGACAGAAAGAAGTTACACAAGAAGCCACACGTAATTTTAAGAAACACAAAGAACACAATACTTACACGTGTACTTCGAACATATAAATACGGTGTGTGTTTATGTACACATATTAAAAGGATAAAAGACAAATTAATAACAGTCTATGAAAATGGACTAACATGTTAAGAGATGAAACTTTTTATAAAAAAACTAATCTTGCATTACTTTAATTTTTAAAAGATTATATAACTATAAAAACAAAGGGATAAGGGTTGGAGAGATGGCTCAGAGGGTAGGAGCACTGGCTGCTCTTACAGAGGTCCTGAGTTCAATTCCCAGCAACCACATGGTAGCTCACAATCATCTACAATGAGATCTGGTGTCCTCTTCTGGTGTGTGTGTGTGTGTGTGTGTGTGTGTGTGTGTGTGTGTGTGTGTGTGTGTGTGTGTGCGCGCGCGCGCACATACACACGCAAGCATGCAGGTTAAATAAATAAATATTTAAAAAAAAACAAAGGGATAAGATTCTGTTTAGGTGAACATTGTTGATGATATTCTACTAAGAAGAGTTTAAATACTGGAAATTAATAAAATTCAAGTTTGACACTGAACCTTTCAATTTTGGATTGAGTTCTTGTTCTTCCATTTTCCCGTGTCTTATCATCATCCTTCTTGGGTGGAATTATAGTTGGTTCCAAACCAAACAACTCTTGAAGACGTCCATAAAGATCCGAACGATTGTAGACATGAAATTCAAAGTCATTAACTGTGATATATAATCTGGTTTCTGCCTTTGGATCTAAAGACACATGCCAGCAAAATAAATAAATAAATTGATAAATAAATAAGTGCAAAAAAAGAGAATAATGAAAAGAAAGATTTCAATCAATTTTTCAAGAATTTTAATCAAAATATTTAATCAAAATATTTTTTGTCAAATATTTTCTCACAAAGTAAAACAAACTTACTTATAAGAGAGAGGACATTTGTTTCTACAGAGGAAGTTTCAAGTCATCAATCTCATGTGAACCACAGCAGGAGAAATTTATCTAGGATTTCTTTTGTTCTAAAATAAAATGTTACATTTTTGTAACATCTTTTGTAATCTTAGTCTATTTTCCACTTCTATCTAACAGATTCTATTGAATATTCTTTAAAATTGGATAGTCAGTTCAAAAAAATACCCTTAACTTTTAAAAATGAGTGAAAAACTTACTGACTTTCATCTTAGTAGTAGATGAAGTTACTATGCCAAATTAAAATAAGTGTCTAACCTTCCTAACCTTCCTGAAGATAACAAATTTCATCAAAACTATTTTTTTCATGTTTCTTGCAAAAAAAATTGTAATGTTCAAAAGTTTAAGCAAATATAAATTTGTAACTAACAAAATACACTGCCATTCACATTTTTAAAAAGAAAACTAAGAAAAACAAATCATTAATATTTATTTTTCATATAGTAATCATGTTACTTCAATTAAGGTATTTTCTCATCATTTTCTAGGACAACTGGGGAGAGCAGAATAAATGCAGTCCTTTAAAAAAATCAATGGTAGTAAAAATAAAGTAATATTAACTCCAAATACCTGATGGCTATGAGCTGTCATTTATGTAGTTCTCTGACCTAGATTCCTGCTGTTCCTTCAGTCTTACCATATAACTAAGAGCTAAGACAGTGCTCATTACATCAGCCATTCCATCATTCTTCCTTACTGCATATCAAATTCTTAAAGCAGACAGTAAAAGCCATTTTTGTTAATATACATAAAGTATAATTCTTGAAACCAGAAAGCATAAGTACCCATTTTAAATAAACAAGTAAATCAAACTCTATTTTGCATCAGGTTTAAACCTTTGTTTAGTAGTCAACAATGGTTCACCCCAGACTTCAAGGCAAAAGAGTAAGTGGGCAGCCCTCAATGTCTCCAACCTTCCTGAAACAAGACTTAACCAACACCTGATTTCCCTACCCAAATCCAATATTCCTCATCAACAGCAAGTCTGTCTTTTCCATTACTAAAACGTAAAAAGTTTTGACTGTTCATTCATGTCCCATAGACAATCAGACAATCCTTACAGCTTTTCTTAAACATCCAGAATCTAACCACTTTTTAATGCTCAGGCTCAAGTCACCATCTCTGTGCACTTCTTATAACAGTCTCCAAACTAGTCTGTGCTTTTGTTCAGCTCTTCTCATGCTTGTGCTTAACACATTGACCAGATTATTTAAAACTCAAGATCATCTCATCCTCTATTCATAAACTTTCTAATCTTCCTATCTGACCCAGAAAAACAATATGGCCTTTCAAATACCTAAGTTCTACACAATCTACACTCTCACGTGTTAATCCTGCTTTCTACCCAACTCCAAGTAAATTAGCCTAGTAGAACTGGCAATAAAAGAGGAACAGAAGAACCACAGAAAGCTTTCCCTGAGACAGTCAGTTACATACTCTCTTAATTGCTGAACTGTTCTCTTTTAACTCTCCTCTGTCAATGGAGGCTCCTGATTTCCCAGGAGGAACTTCACCAAAAGTACTCCGCATTCAAATTGCCCTGGTTTTATAATATTTTTTTCATCTCTATATTTTCCCTCATTACTTGCTGATTATCTGAATATTCCCAACATGAATGTAGGAAGCTCAGTGAACAGTGGGACCATTTTGCTCACTGATAAATTCCTATTATCTAGAAGAATGCTAAATGTATAGAAGAGCTCATTTGTACAAAAACAATAAAACAAAACAAAACAAAAAACCAGAGCATCTTCCTACAAGTCATACTTCTAGAAAAGCAAAAATCCTAGGTTAATAGTGAGATCTTATTCTGTTTGAATACTTAATAAGTAAAACATAATAAATAAATGTAGAATATTTTTACATTCACACATAGAGTTGTACACGTAGAAATTATTACACAATTCTTCAAGGTCATGAACAACTCAATTTTAAACTCACTAAGGCACATGGTTTCAGGTTTAGTTATCCAACAGTTTAGTAATGATCCTTTAGCACAAATGCTCTAAGCACCAACCAGGTTTATGCTACAAAGGCCAATGGATTAGTTACAGAACCTGGATTTATTCCTAATGGGATCAACAGTGATAAATAAACAAATGAATACTATATAAAATAAAACAGAACTTCTCTCATTTCATCTCTACCCTGTAGAATCTGCAAAAATCATCTCCTTTCAATACAACTGATGAGAACACAGCTTCATTAATGTATTACGGATGCCAAGGAATAAAGATAATTATTAATTTCTAAATATATTTGACAACCCTCATAAATACTAAGTATACAATACTACACTGCAAGATCCGGATTCCTTCTTTCATATCCCGATTTTTTACAATGTTTATTACTTCTCTTACTAGAATGCGATCTCCATTAGAAGAAACGTTAGCTCATTACATTCACTTATTTTATCCCTGAACATCTGCCACATGCCTGGAATATAGGAAGGAACTAAATTCATATTTAAATCACTGATCAAAAATAATAATGGATCTAAATTTTAAAGAAGACAAAATTTAGGCCACATTAAACCAATATTAGCCTAAAGATCATCTTTTCCTTCTAAAAATCAATTTTGAAAAGTATTAAATAGCAAGTTTTCAGTTTTAAAAACACATTTTGACCTCAGTTTTAGAAAAGAGAAACATTTATCAGAGTTCACATTCTATATTTTTCTGTGTCCTATTGTTTTTATTTGTGTTGACCGCACTGACAATATTTCAGTCAGCATTCTAACACTAAATCAAATTTCTGATTGATATTCACACTTACACAACCTGCAGGTCTTCAGGGTCTCTGTCCATGATCCTTTCTATCAATGTCACCAGCCTTCTATAACTCCCAGAAGTATTCTATACAAGCACTCACTCCATCCTTCATCTCTACTCAGACACAGACATGGACACAAGTTGTAATATTTCATTTGTATTTTAATCAATAAAGCTTGCCTGAACATCAGAGAGTAAAACAGACACACTGGTCAGCTTTATAGACCAAGCAGTGTAATGCACACCTTTAATCCCAGTAGCCACACTAGTTTGCCATAGAAACCAGGCAGTTGGGGTGTATACCTTTAATCCTAGCCCTAGAGAAGACTATAAGAGAGGAGGAGCTAGCTCTCAGACATAGTCTCATTCTGAGATTCCAGGAGGCAGGAATGTCATTTCAAACTGAGGTAGAGCCAGTGGCTGGCTATTTTGCTTTTCTGACCTTCAGGATGAACCCCAATATTTGTCTCTAGGTTTTTAATAATCATGCTACAGCAAGTGATCTAAAAGCATATCCTTAGAGACAGAGAAACAATATACCTATTAAAGAGACAGATACATACAAAGATGTACACCACACATTGGGCATTCACATACAGACTTAGAAATATTGAGATACAAGCACCCACATGTACATACTCTTAGAGTCATACATGCATGCCTACAACTAATAGCACAATGACAGTATAACTTTCACAGAGATAACTACACAGAGTTCACTTGCAAAAGCAGTCCACACAGATCAGAAGGTGAATATTCCCAAGATGGGTACATCCACTCAAAGACAGACAAAGCACAGACAGTCCTTCAAAGGCATCAATCCTCACAAACAACAGCTTCTTTTATAAAAAATTAATAATAATAAAATAAAAAATTAAACTGAGATACTTGTAGTGGAGTCTCCAAGAACTAGACAAGGAGATAAGCAGTAAGAAAGATAAAGGTATGTGTAGTGATAAGGCTACTTCCCAAGCTGTCTCAGGCTTTATGTTGATGCAGTTGTCCACGTGGGCGCCATTTGTAGTGATGAGGCAAGCAGGCCTGCTTTTCGTCCCGCCCGGCTCCTGCACGGTTAGCTTTACACCCGAAATAACAACACCCAAATTGTATTCATTTAAACACTGCCTGGCCCGTTAGTTCTAGCCTCTTACTGGCTAACTCTCACATCTTGGTTAACCCATTTCTATTAATGTGTGTAGCACCACGAGGTGGTGGCTTACCAGGAAGATTCTAACCTACGTCCATCTTGGGCCGGAGCTTTATGGCATCTGCCTGACTCTACTTCTTTCTCCCAGCATTCTGTTCTGTCTACTCCACCCACTTATGTTCTGATCTATCAGGCCAAGCAGTTTCTTTATTAATTAACCAATGAAAGCAACACATAGAAAGAAGACCCTCCTACATCAGGTATGGATCCCCACATAATATGTTTTACTAATGTGGTGACCAGAGACAAGTATTTTACTATTTTAACTATACATACCTTGTTTGTTTCACATATAAAATGAGAACTATACTACCAACCTATGGATTGTTATACACAATAAATATTAGCTTCCTTAGGAAATCAACATTTTATCAGTCATATAAGTTACATACAATTACCTCTGTATTCATTTGTAGATTCAACCAACCATGAGAGCAAATATTTCTCAATTGTGCCTGTACTAAACATACACTGATTTTTCTTTTTATTCCTTGAACAATACAATAATTATTTACACAGCATGCAAACTGAAACAAGTATTTTGAATAAGCCAGAAATGAAGTACATAGGAAGAAGGGTGTAGGCTCTATGCAAACATTATGTTTTTTATGTAAAATACTTGAATATTCTTTAATTTCACTACCCATACAAGAAAGAGGGCTGTCCTGAAGCCAATCTTCTACTCATACTGAGGGTGAGTACTATTAGCTTTTGAATTATGCTTTTGAAGCAGTTTTTTATTCTGTGATGTGATGTGATATAATAATACAGTACAGTAGTAATAAAAGCAGTACACCTGTGTTCAATAGTGACTATATTTTTGGCTTTAGTCTAGGCACTTTTACTAACATCTTCTCATACAACCCTGTAGCAGTTGAAGCTAATTACAGAAGACTGAAAACTAAGTTTCTAAATATTGACCCTTAAACAGAAAATTATACTATATTAATTATAATTAATATTATATATCATACTATAATATATTATATATTAAAATTATACTATATTAATTATAATTAATATTATATATCATACTATAATATATTATATATTAAAATTATATTAATGCATGAAAGCAAATATTTAGCTGTAAAAAATTTTAAAAGTACTAAATGATATAACACTAAAACTTGTAATCAACAAAATGATAGAAAAGGGAATACTTTATTATCCTGTCCACTTCTTAATACAAGAATCCCTTCTGGGCAAGAAAAATGCCTAACTAATTATTCAGGTCCATATTCATCTAAACAATATAACACATTAAGATGCAACTAGTGCTGCTAGCAAATTATTTTCTAAAAGAATGACTTAAAATCAATTATCCTAAAACAGAGACTTTATTTATTACAGACTCTATTTATTGCAAATAACTCATTTCATAACAGAGAATATATTAAACCAAATTCATTAAATGTCTCTTTTCTTTCTTTTTTCTTTCCTTTGTTTTTTAAGACAATCCTGAACAACCAACAAATTTCAATGTATTCCTGAACAAAATTATTCCAACCAACATCTATAACAAAGAATTTGTGGACCCTATGGTAGTGTGGATGGGGGAAGAGATGCCCATGTCCTCCCCACCTGTGCCAGGGGAGAAAACGGGCCCTGAAGTCCTAAGAATAGAAGCGAAGTTCCTGCCCCTCACCAGCTGCAGCACCCAGGAGAGGGGTCCCTGCACCTCACTTGGGCAACACAGTAGAGCTGACCATCATGGTGCAGGTGTCGGGGAGCCGACACTGAGGGCATGAAAGCTGGAGAACTGGCCCTGCCCCTTGCTCATTTCTGCCAGTAGTGAACTATTTAGGGCAATGCTGGAGAATGCACTCCAGTGGTGAGGACAGGGGAGAGCTAGCTGGCGAGCTGCTCAATCCTGCAACTACCCAGGTCCAGAAGGAGGGTTATGAGTTGGCCCACCCCAACAAGTACCCCATCTATGATCTGTTGGAGCAAGTAAAGGGAATGGTCCTGCAGACCCAAAGATGCAGAATCTCCACAACACAGGGCAACAACAGGACAGCCAAGAGAAGTCCCAGAAAGGGTCCAGCACCAATAGTGTAGCAGAAACCAGAGGTCTCAAACCAGACCAATGACTCTGTAATGAACACTTGTAAGTAAATATATGGATAAAAGTATTTACTGCATGACTCACTGTGTCATACTGTCGCTTTCATGGTGAGATTGATCTTTCCTTTTTTATTTTCCTTTTTTCTCTTAAACTTCATTTTATTTTGGGGGGGTTGCAAGAGCAGAGGACAGATACAAAGGGATGGGGGAAATGAATGAAATCGAGATGCATGATGTGAAAGATACAAAGAATAAATAAAAAGAAAGTTAAAAAAAAGATTTGTGAACATCACTCTTCTCTTCCAATAAAACAACTCTAATTTCTAATGGAAATCTTAGCCCTTACCAAGAGGCACTTTCTTTTTTTTCCCCCTCCCTTGAGATAGGGTTTCTCTGTGTATCTCTGGCTATCTTGGAACTCACTCTGTAGATCAGGCTGGCCTTGAACTTACAGAGACCCAACTACCTCTGCCTCCCTGAGTGCTGAGAATTAAAGGCATGCACACAACCACCGCCCAGCTCCAAGATGCAGTCTTTAATTCACCTCCTTGGAAGTCTGTGTAGCTTCTACTATTTTCAGGCCCACACTCTAGCTAGACTTCGAAGATTTTCATCAAGGAATGTCAACCATCTATACTGTCTGGATAATTGTCGAAGCACATACATCAATCTGCCCGTAAATCAGCAAGAAATCATATATTTGCTATAAAGTCTTACTAGAGAAAATAGCTCACTCTTATCATATGTTAAAAATAATTACATAATCTACTAATAGTGCTTGGATTTTGTCAGTGCTGAATTTCAACCTATTCACTATTCTATGCACTTTATTCTAAAACTTTGATCCCAAATCATGAAAGACTAATAATGTATATAGATTCAACAGTGCATTCTACCTTGCTATTTCACATGCCTTTACTTTTGACAGGTATGATTGTGAGCACATTATTAAGAACATCAACTTCCATAATAGAGAATTCCCTTAAAAAGTACATGGAATATATAAGTTCACAACTAACATTAACTCAATAGTGAAAAGTGGAACTCTTTCCTCTAAAACTCAATGAACACCTATCTACCCTCATGTCTTTTCAAAATTGTTGTAGTTCCTTGTCTCAGCAATTAAGCCAAGAGAAATAAATTAGGCATCAATAGGAAAGAAAGTCACTTAAATTGTTGTTTGCTGACAACATGGTCTTGTTAGAAAATCCTCAATATTTCACCAAAAACTCTTTTAAAAAAAGAATTCAGCAAAGTTACAAGACTGAAGATAATCAACATAGGAAAATCATTAACATTTCTCCACACTAACAGCAATTTTTCAAGCAAACAATCTCAACAAGTTACCAGAAATATATATATAAAGTACTTAAGATTAAATTAACTAAAGGAGTTAAAGTCCTAGACCCAAGAGAAAACACATTCCATATTCATGGGTTAGAAGAAAGAATACTGTTAAAATTTTACTAATGAAAGCCATCTACAGAGTCGATGTAATTCCCTCAAAATTCCAGTATCACTTTTCACAGCTGTAGTGTTGTAGATGAGAATAGCCCCCACAGGGTCATAAATGTGAATACTTGATCACCAGTGAGTAGCACTATTTGAAAGCATTAGTAGGTGGTGGGCCTTGTTGGAGAAAGCTTTGAGGTTTTAAAAAGCTCATTCCAAGTCCTAGGTCCCTCTCTACCTGATGCCTGTATATCTGGATGTAGACTCTTGGCTACTACTCTAGCACCATGTCTGCCTGCATGTCACCAAGATGATAATGGTGAAACTGCATTGCAAACCAGCCCCAATTAAATGCTTTCCTTTTTAAGAGTTGTCATGGTCCTGGTGTGTGTTCACAGCAACAGAACACTGACCAAGATAACAGCTAAAGAAAAAATAATCCTAAAGGTCATGTGGAATTACAGAAGAATTCAAACTGTCAAGGAAACCACAGCACAAAAATAATGCTAGCAATAGCTCACATGTTCAATGTTTAACTATATACAAAGTGATTACCACTAGAACAGCACAAAACTGGCATAAGAGAGACAACTAGACCAGTAACAGAACACAAGAGACTACTAATGAACCCAAGAACCTACAATAAATTGATTTTCAACAAAAACATACAATGGAAAACAAATCTCTTTAATAAATGATGCTGACAACTATAAATCGACATACAGGACTTCATCTCAAAACCACATACACAAAAATCAACCAAAAATGGTCTGAAGACTTTAAAATCTCAAATCATAAAACTACTAGAAAAAAGTAATAACAATAACAGAGTAATAACTACATACCACCCTGGTCCAGGTACTGATATTTAAACTTGACCCAAAAAAACACAGGTAAAAAAGACCAACTGTATTATGTCGAAATAAAAGTATATTCATAATAAAGAGAATAATTAACAGAAGGTACAAACTAATCATTTTCAAACCATATTAACTGATAAAGAAGTCATCTGATAAAAACTGTACACAAAATATATAAGGAACTTAAAAGTACTCTACTGGAAGAAAACTGGTTAAAAAACAAACAAGAGACGTAATGAATGTGAACAGACAAGTAGTTAGCACCACTAATCATAGGTGGCGGCACATACTTAAGGACCCAGCTACTAGAAAAGCAGAGGCACAAGCATCTCTTGCATCCATGAGGTCGCGACCAAACTGGGTAACACAGCATGTATTAGTGAAGAGAAGCTGAAGAATGTGGATGTCTTACAAACATCAGAGTGATGTGGGTCATTTTATTCAGAATATGGTTAGGTCCACATTTTCAACAGATACTAGAAACATGGATAGAGAGCATACTGAGGACATGACTGGATAATACAGCAAAATGAATGATTAATTTAAGCAACAGATAAAATAAGAGCTTTATAAATGCCAAGTTATTAAAAATTATTTATTATGTGAAATACTTAATACATATAAAGGAAAATTCTGATTATATGATTAAATACCTTTGAAACATATAAAAAAGAGAATTTACCATGTTGTTTCTGCTTTGGGTTATACATTTTCCACCACCGAAAAATGATAAATCCATCTTGAATCCTGAGGGAAGGCAGATTATACCAGATTACAAAAGCAAGAAAACAATTTATTGAACTCATTTTTTAAACCCAGGCTGACCTAAAAATTGCTGCAAAGCCAAAGATGACCTTGAACTTCTTTCAAGTCATTCTGTCTCCACCTTCTCTACCACACCCAGCATTCCTTAGCTCATCCTTGTTTTATCTTCTTTCAGGAAAAAAGTAAAGAACTGCCTAACTCCAAATTAAGAAGGAATGTTGTTGAATTGATAAAAATTGTACAGATTTATCATGTATAACACATAAAAATTACTGGGCTTTTCTAACTATGTGAAACATAATGCTAGAATATATTTACAGAAAAATGAAGTGCAGGAAAAAATATATTTTAAATAACATTTTAAAGCATAAAACATATTTTAAAAGTCAAATCTTAAAGAAGGTGTTAATAAACTCAGGGGAAAATTTCTAAAATACTCCTTCCTATCTGTCAATGACCTATGATTTCATACCTTAAAAAGATCCTCTCTGAGCTTTTATTTTGATTTAGAAATATTATAGGCTACCACAAAAGTTGCTTCCCAGTTTGAAATGATGTAAGCAATACCAATCATAGTATCTCTCAATCTAAACTTTTTTCTAAGTCACAAATTTTGAAAACTCACAAAAATAGAGTAAGCTTTTCTTCAAAGCTTACAGAAAACACTTTAATCATGTTATTATTTCCTATTATACTAGATTAGTTTTACATTCTCACAGCAAAATTATAGTTGCTAATATGTACTCAATACTTGCATGCTGACCTTGAGAAAACTGATGACTCATACCAATAGCCCTGACACGTATGCCATGTAACAACGATTGAAAGAGTCAGCTAACACAATGGTTCAATTTTCCAGCTACAAATCAAATGAAAATATTTGTTTCTATGAACTGCTAGGTAGGAAATATTTTGCTGGTCTAAATAATTTTAAACATTGCTTAATAAACAACTTTTGATTTATGGTTTATTTGAATAAACAAATATTAAATAAGACCATATTAAGAACATTTTTATAATAGTTCACATTTGTTTGGATCTCTTTTCATTTTTTGTTACCTAATAGACATATCTTCTGTAATGTAATATATTTCACGAACCATGACTTTGCCAGAAAGAACAGAGAAAGAGAAGGAACCTGTTACAGAGAAAAAACAATGGTAACTACAGTAATCCTTAATGCATAGTAGAGCATTTAGAGCTTAGACTAATCTTAAACCTTTAAATAAATAAATAATTCATCTTATTCCATTCCCTTCTCCATATACTCACAAGTCTTATAAATCTCTCATTTTTCTTTCCCCAATGAAACAAAAAGGGCTAAAATTATCAGTATGGGCTGAACTACTAAATAAACATTTTTATAACTGTTCCCTATAGGTAGATCCTTTAATTAAAAACAGCCACTACACATACACAAACAATACCTAACTCATCATTTTCTCCATTAATCTGTCTGTATCAGTCATTTCTCCTAATTCACAGAAGACAATTTATGCTTCAGAGAAGATTTACTTGTGCTCATTAAGAAGTTTTTTAATATGAGGAATGCTGGACCAGCCACCTCTAGTTCCATTCTACCCAATTAACCACTGGGCTTCTTCCCAAGGAACATGGTTTCCTAACGCAAATGCCCATCCTCATGCAAAATTTCTCCTGACAACAAGAAGTCGACTAAAAGTAGTCACAGATGAAATACACAAAATTATCTCAACTTATAAATTTTTAAAATAGCAACTTTATAAAAAGGGGAAAATCTATATTGAATATTCAAATTCAAGACAAACTTTAAAAACATTCAATTTGAATATTTTGTTTTTCAAATATTTTTATAAGCATATTTTTTAAGAAAAAAAAAAGCCAAAAAGTTACTATAGAAACACTTTAAGCAATGACAATACGATAAGTAAAAGTAACCAAATGACAGTTCATTACTATCTAAGGAATGTTACTGGAAAGACCAAACAATTGGATTACTTTAAACTCATGAACCAAATGATGTTCTAAAGCTACTATTTGTTAACAAAATATAAATTTATTTTTCTCATTTTATAAATAAAATAATATCATGAGATAAAAATCATGAGATAAAATAATATCATGAGATAAAATAAAATAAAATTTTATTTTATCTCATGATAAAAGAAAAAAATATAGTGTTAAACAACTTACCAATATGGATATAGCCATGTTTATACAATCTATTAAGGACCAGTGTTAAAATAAGACCAACATTCCGAGAATTATAGTAGGTGAGATAAATAATCCATCCACAAGACAAAATGGTAGCTGTTTAGAGGGAAAACAAATCATTAAAGATTTACTTCTATATAGTAATCTGCATTTTTAACAATTTAATACTTAGAATTTTAAAATCACGAGTTCTTTCTTACATAACTTTCTTTTTTTCTTCAGTTATTTGCCTAAATAAATAAAATTTTTAAATGTAGATGCTAATCAGATTAAAGTGCAATGCTTCAAGAACTTGAAAGGTATTGTTCCATGCCTCTGCCTTAAGTTTTGGTTAAGAAAGCTAAATTAGCAATTATTCTGAGTTTTTTGCCTTTACATGTAAACTGGTGCCTCTTACAGCCATCAACATTCTTTTTTGTTCTATATATACTCTACGCCCTCTTCTCTGCCCATGATTCCCAAATGTGTCCTTTCAATTGTATTCCATAAATCCTGTATGTTCTGGGTTTTTTTTTTTCTCTCTTACTATTTTACCATGATTATCCTCTGAATATTCCAATTTGTCTATCATGTCTTCAAGACCTGGAATTCAATTTCCATTTGATCTATTTTATTAGTGAGGTTTCCCTAAGTTTTTTTATTTTGACCTACTGATATTTTCATTTTCAAAATTTCAAACTGATTCATTTTCAGCACTCATATGTCTCTACTGAATTCTTCTATCTAATCTCTCTGTGCTGCCTTCCTTATTTTGTTCAATTGTTTGTGCTCTTTGAATTCATTCAGTTTACTCAAGTCTTCTTTGCTTTCACTGGACATCATCATCATCATCATCATTACTATTATTATTTTCGAGACAGAGGAGTTTCTCTCTGTAGCTCTGGGCCTGTCCTGGCACTCTCTTCTGTAAACCAGGCTGGCCTCAAACTCTCAGAGATCCACCGGCCTCTGCCTCCCAAATGCTGGGATTAAAGGCATACATCACCACCACCCAGCCCTTATATTATCCTTTTGATTTCCATGAGATTTCATTCAATTTGCTCTCATTGAAGTCTATTACTATATAATTAGGAATTTTCAAGTGCATAGTTATAGTCTTGCTTTTTTAAATGTTTTTGTTTTGTTTTGTTTCGTTTTTGCATTTCTGTGTTGGGATTTAAGCATCTGGAACAAATCACTGGCTGGAATTTTTTTAATCACCATATTTTCTTCAATGCAAATATCTGTGGTGTTCAAGTAGAACTATATTATAATATGCTTAAGGTGTCATTTTCCCCCACTAGACTTGACTCATCTCAGAGCAAACTACTAATTTCAGGACAAGTCTATTATGAAAACAGAATTATCTTCAATTAAAATATTGCCCCAACCCTAAATTTGGATGAGTACAAAAGCACAGTATGCAACAAGGTATTAGTGACTAAGAACAGTATGGAAAGAAAGTAAAACTAGTCATTGGTATTAGAGCAGCACACAGAAAATAAAAGAAGGAGAAACAAATAAAAGGATATAACAGTAAAGATAAAGGGAAGAGATAAAGCAGCTCCATTGGATAGCAAAATGAAAAGAGAAAAATGTAAAGAAATGTAATCAAACAACCTAAAACCACCCCAGCACTTGGGAAACTGAAGCAAGACGACCGAAAAATCCTGGCCAATCTATGAAAAGCCAAAAATCTTAAGAAAAGCCAAAAATAAGAGGGAAAAAGAGAGCAGAGCAGAACAAAACTAGTCCATTCAATTGAATTAGATGATACATAAACAAAAAGGAAAGAGAAATAGGTGGGGTACAAAGTCTGTATGTGGCTTCCCACATGCCTGGTCTTCCTCCAGGCAGTCACTCATGGTGCCATCTCCCCCTTTTCAAGTCCCAAAGATTTATTTTCAATTTTCTTTTGTTCCTTCACTATTTAAACTAGTGTTGATCTTTCACCACCGGCCTGTTGGATAGCTGCACTCCATGCGTACCCAGTTTACTCCCCCACAGATTCTAACAGTCTGTACAGCTTCACTCCTCCCAGCTGTGCCCTGCCCAGCAGAAGTCTGGTACAATGAGCCAGTTAAGGAACAAATCAGCTCCAGGGACAGATGAGCAGCTCAAGGGCTGCAGCACCACAATCATACCATTCCTGGTTAGGTCACGGATACCAGAGTTACTACCTTAGACATGCCTCTTGATTTTTTTTTTCAACTTAGAGAAAAATTTTTGTTTTTTTAATCAACAATCTCTACTTTTAAAAAAGTAACAGGAGTTGGGGAAATGGCTCAGTTGGTACAGGGCATGCATAAGGATCTGATTTTGGATCACCAGCACTCACATAAAAGTTGGGCTTGGCACATACAACCTGTAGAAAAGACCTGGGAAGCAGAAGCCAGAGATAGGGCAATCCCCAGAGTTCACTGGCCAGCTTGCCTAGTGAAAGCAATGAGCTCCAAGTTTATTGAAAGACTCTGTCTAAAAATATAAGGTGGAGAGAGACTGTGGAAGGCACCCCAGTATCAACCTCTAGTCTTCACAAATGTATGTACATCACACACACATACACCAATACAAATGTGCATAAACACATACTAAGAAAAGAAATAGAATCCAAGAAATTTTGTCAAGGAAACATTAAATAGGCTACCTGTGGTCGTGTGAATGTAACTGGCTCCCATAAACTCATAAGGAGTGACAGACACTACTAGGAGGTGTAGCCTAGCTGGAGTAGGTATGGTACTGTTGGAGAAAGTGTGCCTCAGTTTACTTCCTGCTGCCTTGCAGATCAGGATGTCGATCTCTCAGCTCCTTCCCCAACACCAGGTCTGCCTAAGTGCTGCCATGTTTCCTGCCATTATAGCAGGAAACTGTAAACCAGCCCCAACTTAATGTTTTCCTTTCTAAGACCTGCCATGTCTCTTCACAGCAACAGAACCCTAAGAGGCTGCCCTCTCCTAAATATTTGTAGTAACTGTTGTAACAATAACCTACTTTTTTAAAATGTCACTGATTATGGTAGAAATAAATCAGCCTTAATTTAACTAGTCATGAAAGTTGTCATCTAAAATTTATATTTTTTAAAATTGTATTTTTTAAATACCCTGTTCAACAATACACAAAAGGAAAGACAGAAAAATCAATGTTTTTATAATGAATTGACCTTTTCTTTTAAATGTATAATTGTTTTCTAAGTAAGGAAAAAGTAATGTGTAGCAGGTTAAAATGTGACCAACCAACATCACAGTAAGATCTTCACTTTGTTCAAAATAATGCTACAGTTTTTAAAAACAAAGCTATTACTTTGTTTCATTTTTTGGATTTTATTAATAATTTACAGTAGTTTTCTTTTGTCAAAAAGAAAATATAGAACTCTAAGTCTAAGTTGTAATTCAATCCTACCTACATATTATAAAGCACCATTATTCCTTCATGAATATCACCTCTACCCATATTCCTGCCTTATAGTATATGGCATCAAGTCACATAGACACAAAATCATGCATTTAGTAAAAATTGCTATGTAATCCATAGCATGTAATCCATGCTATTATTAAAATGAGAAAATGAAAACCTATCTTCATAAAACTGCTTTGAGCACTGAAACAACACATACAAACTTCCTATTGTATTCAGTATACCAAATACGCCGAAAAAATATCAGTATGTCTCCTTTCTACCCTTCTTAATTTCCCTTCTACATCTGGGGTTCCTACACCAAAATCCAACTCAAACAGCATGATTTTACATCAACTTGTGCAGCAATAACAGCCTTCAATAATCTCTTTATTCACTAATATTATTTTATACATCTTCCTTTTCTCCTTCATATTCATTCCTTCATTTCTTCCCTCCCTCTTCCTTCTCTTCCATTTAACTAGCACTGATCTGAACTATTTGTATATACCGAGAAAACTTCTAGACCATTACACAAAGTAATAAATAGCATAAACCACTACCATTTTTTCCTGAGGGAAAAAAGAAATTAAAATAAAGTATTAAATATATGTTATTTCACTACAAAATATTATTTACAATGAACATTTATTAAGCTTATGTTAAAAATGTTTGTGTATGTGTTGGAATGGGGTGGGGAAAGTAATTTAAAACAGGAAAAATAAGCTCAACATAATCAATGCCTTTTCTCTCCCCCAGCTCTCATAAGTCAGATAACTTAGCAACCTAAGAAAAACAAAAACAATACAGCGTAGTTTCCAGAGGACATATTCAAAAGACATACATAAACCCCTTCCTAAAGACAAATGAACGCTACTCTAGCATTTCAGGTTGAGCCACCACTGCCTAAAATCTGACAGGTGTTAATACATGGAAGAAAACACAACAAAATTACTTTTTAAATATATTCTACTTACCAACAAGAAGCCAAACAACATTGGAATTGTGTTCTGTAAGAAAATCTTCTAATTGCGTGATACTGGGGACAATGCTGTCATTCTTCCTTTGATCCATTACTGATATTTTTCCAGAACATCTAAAGGCCTAAAAGAGATCAACAGTTAAACTTAGAATCAAAGATTCATAAAACTCCAACAGAAATCATGTAAAACAATAAAAGGTGAATTAGCAAGGTTTTTAAAGTTACTTTTTATGTCTTTCACTAGGATTGCAAGTAAATAACAAATGAAATGTTTGTACATATTTCTATCTAAATAGAAGATCATGGTTCAAATTGGAAATGCCTTGATTTTACAATCAAGATAAGCAAATCTCTGTGAGTTTGAGGTCTACTTATGGTCTACATAGTAAGCTCCAGAATGGCCAGGGTTACATAAAGATAACCTCTTTCAAAAACAAATTAAAAGAGTAGTACTGAAAGAGGCATGATTGCTATTAAAGATCATAGTAAAAATCTACTTTAATAAGGTATATTAATCACCTATATTCTTATTAGTCACCATTAATAATAATCATTAATTATATAAACACATATATTACATAAACAATATAATTCCTAATAATTATGTTTAATTAAAATATAATTAATTGTATTGATTAATGCATAATTAATGGTATGTCACTGCGGATGATATAATAATGAATATATTATTAATATTCATCTAGATTTTTCCTCAAAAGTTAGCACTTAATATTATAATTGCATATTAAATAAATCTTTAATAATTTCCATCACCTCTGTGTATTCACCAACATTCAACAGGATAATAATCTTCCTAGTCACATGCTTCCTCTGGATAGTATGTGAAAAGTTAAATGATCTCTTGCCATCACATGTTCGGGAAAAATTATAATAAAATGTCAAGCTATGAACAGACATGGTCAATTGTGTAGATAAATATGTATATAGATATGTATGTGTCCTGGTTTGAGTAAGATGAACCCATAAGTGCAGATATTTAAATGGTTAGTCACCAGGGAGTAGAACTCTTTGATAAAATCAGAAAGATTAAAAGGTGTAGCCTTACTGAAGAAATATGTCACTGAGAGTGGACTTTGAGGTGTCAAAAACCCATGCCAAGATTGGTCTCCCTCCCATCCAACCACCCTCCCCCCATCTCTCTCTCTCTCTGTGCCTGTTGATCAAGATGTGGTTCTCAAGTACTTTTTCAGCACCATGCCTGCCATGCTACCATGCCTACCACCATGCTCCTCATCATGATAATAATGAACTAACCTTCTGAACTTGTAAGAAAGCCCCCAATTAAATGCTTTCTTTTATAAGAGCTGCTTTGCTCACAGTGTCTCTTCACAGTAATAGAACAGTGACTAAGACAGTATGAATATCCATATACATAGACAGGCAAGTAGCATGATTATGATTATTTTATAAAGAATGAATTAAAAAATAAGAAAGTTCTTACATTATAATAAAAAACAAAAGAGGCATTTTCCTTTTAGTATAATATTAATACAATTAACCCAATCCACTAACAACAGTCTCCAATTATAATACAAATTCAAAGAAAAGGAATCATAAGGAAAACTGTATCATTAATATTCCTTTAGACCAAGTAGCACAGGTAAGTTTTGGGGGAATAAAAATAATAATAGTAAAATTTTAAGGACACACAAAGAATTATGAGGACAAGTTTTTTCACTGAAATTCAATGAATATGACTTGTCAACTTTTTAAACATATTTTTATTTGTTTGCCATGACTCTCACTTTGGAGAGCACAATAGATAAAATTTTCATATATGTATGTATATAGAAACATATATACATACGCACACACACACATATATGTAGCTGAAATCTTAGTATAGTATAAAGATAAAAACAAAATGTCTCTGGAAAGTAAAAGGGTGCACGTGCAACAGTAGACAGTGACAATGCCATGAAACAGCAAAAAGCTTGAGAAAAAATGGAAAAATGTTTCTACTTTAAATTTTTCTCCCACTGTTTACACACTGAGTAAAACAGGTTCTCGTATTTTTAAAAGCACTGAAAGACCTGTCAATTATCAGCCTAAATTTTAGAAGGAAGCGATCACTTTATAATCCATGAATTCTCTTCTGTCTTTTGTTCAACACTTTATTTAAATGGGAGAAACACTTTGAAAGACTCACAGATATAAAAACAAATATGAGAACACATTATTAGATGTGTTATTAGATTATTAGGTATTATTAGATACCTAATACTGAAAGAAAAAAGGAGAAAAAGAAGGCCAAGAGCATACCTAGCCAGATCTAGTAACTTCTGTAATTAGTATATTAACATAATTGATAGTAATGTAATTACTCCTATAATCTCAGTTTCTCAGGTGGCTAAGCCTAGAGAATCACAAATTTAAATCCAGTAAAATCTATATCAAAAAGCATATTAAATAAATATCTACACATTTTATAATGAATTACATGTGATAAAATTATATGTACCTATCTTATGCTTATTTTTTTATCATTTAGAGATGTCAAATGAGTATTTACTGAAGGAAACAAAGTTAGGTGAGGTATGTATGTTCTGGCATTTGAGTCTCTACACAAAAATATCATTTGTTTCTAATCAAGTCCGAAAAGTACAACCCATCCACAAAAAAACCTAGAATCTTCAACCAAAATCACCACCATCTACCACTATAACAGCTCATCATTCTTATGAAAGGAATAAAGAAAGAGGGTGTTGAGGCTGGAAAGGCATAAGTATCTACCAACATTCTCCCCAGTATAAGATGAATGCAAAACATTTAAGAAAAATCATCAGACAAAAACTCAATGTTAAAAATATATCTCAAGCAAATAAAGAATAAAGAAACTACTTTGTAATGATACTTTGAATAAGAATGACTTCCATAGGTGCATATGTTTAAATACTTGGTTCCTGGTTGGTGGAATTCTTTGGGAAAGATTAGGAGGTGTGACTTTGTTGAGGAAATATGTTACTGGGTAAAGGCTTTATGGTTTTAAAAAACTTAGCATTGGCCAGGCAGTGGTAGCGCACTTTAATCCCAGCACTCAGGAGGCAGCAGCAGGTGGATCTCTGTGAGTTCGAGGTCTTGAAAAAAAGCAAAAAACAAAAAAACAACAATAAAAACAAAAACAAAAAAACAAAACTTTATCATTGCCAGGACTCCCCTCTCTGCCTTCCACTTGTGGATCCATCCAGCCATTTGCTACCATGTCTTTGCTCTGCCATCATAAACAACTATCTGGAACCATAAGCCAAATAAAACTTTCTTTTATAAGTTGCCTTGGTCATAGTGTCTTTATCATAGTAAAAGAAACTAACACAGCAGTTGATACTAGGAAGTGGGTTATTGTTTTGACAGTCCTGACCATGTTGTTTTTGTTGTTGTTTGGGGGAAAGTATGGAAGACTTTGGGACTTTGGACTAGAAAAGCAGTTGAATGCTGTAAACTGAGATTAATAGGCCATCCTAGTAGGAGCTTGAAAGACAGACTTACTAAGGACAATGGAGACCATGGAGACCCAGCTGAAGAAGATTCAGATAGGAACAATATTAATATTAGCAACTGGACTACAGACTATTTTTGTGATATTTTAGCAAAGAATATAGTTGCCTTCTACCCTTGTCCTAAAACTTTGCCTGAGGCTAAACTGAAAAGTAATGAACAAATTTCTTTGGCAGTGGAGATCTCAAGACAGCCTAATATTGACTCTGTCACACAGTTATTAGTAATCACTGTTATGCATGCATATCTACAAAAAATAAGAGCAAGTAGGGTAAACAGAAATACAAAATGTACAGCTTGAAGAGAAAAAGAACAGGCTAGGCCTGATCTGCACTGGAATAAAGGGAGGGGCACACTAGGGGAAAGATCCCAGCCAACTAAGTCTTCAACCAGAAAAGGCCTAAGGAATTTAAAAGCAACAACAAATACAGCTGCAGTAAATGCGAGGCCAGGCTCCATCCCAAGTGAGCAGCAGAATTTAGCAGTGTTTTCCATACTGTTCTGGCTTTAGAATCATGAAGGATAAAAGACTAAAGAAGTTAAAGAAAATCCCTCAGTGCCTAAAGATAGCAGTGAAAATGAAGCCTGAGTTGTGTGGGATACCCCAAGTTATTAAGAGATGTCAGAGCCATAGGGTATCTGCAAGGAGAACTGAGTACTGGGAGTGGAATGAGCCCAAGAGATGTATGTTGCAGGCAGAAAAGCTGGAAGAAAAGTCAACTAAGCCCTTTGACATGAGACATGGAGCTCAGGGGTTTTTCCTGTTGAGTTTCTGTCTTTTTTGGGGGGCCAGTATTTCATTACTATGTCCCAAATTCTTCCCCTTTATAATGGTAATGAATATTCTAAACCATTGTATATTTAAAGTATTTAAATTGCTGTTTCATTTTATAAGGGTTTACAATAAAAAGATTGCCTTAAGTCTCAGGAGAGCCTTTAAACTTTGGATTTTTCAATAGTGTTGAGACCAAATAACTATGGAAATTTTTGAAGTTGGACTAAATTTTGAATTATGATATGGCTATGAGTCAATGGGTGCCTAGGAGTGAAATGCGGTAGTTTGAATGAGAATATGAACTTCATTGGCTGCATGTTTGAATATTTATTCCCAGTTGGTGAAACTGTTTGGGAAGGATCTGGAAGTATGGCCTTGGAATAGGTATATCACTGCTGATATGCTTTAAAGTTTCAAAGACCAGTGTCATTCTTAGTGCTCTCGGCCTTCTGCTTATGATGCCTGTTTTATATTAAGATGGAAGCTCTCAGCTGCTGCTGCTGCAGCCGTCCAGCACCATGCCTTTGCTCCACCTCAATAGACCCTAATCCTCTGAATCACAAACCAAATTGAGTTGCCTTGATCATGGTGTCTTACCACAGCAATAGAAAAGAAACTAATTCAGTCTTTGAGTAAGAACAGTATGGTATTCTGGCATAAGGATCAAGGCAAGAGGGTATCCACAGGAACTAGGGCTACACAGTGCAGACACATCTCATGGTACAACAACTGCTTAATGAAGAGGAGCTGGAAGCTCCTCTAATATAAGAAGCTCCTCTAATATAAGAATCTACTGCATGATCTTCATACAGTAAATGATTGAGGAGAAATAAAAGGGGTTCTTTCCTCTTCTTCTACCATCCTGAACAGTTTAATCTCTTACCAGAAGCTCAAAATTATATATATATATATATATATATATATATATATATATATATATATCCCTTAACCCTAACTATATATATGCAGTACTCTATAAATATCTATTAAATGAATTAAACTGCTTCCAATCATGTTTAACCATGTCTTTTACTAACTCTTCAGAACCCAAAATTGAAAGAAAGAAAGAAAGAAAGAAAGAAAGAAAGAAAGAAAGAAAGAAGAAAAGACTTTAAGTTTGGTAATATTGCAAGTTGATACCAAGAAGCTGAAGCAGAAAGATCTCTAGTTCCAGACAAACCTTGACTTTGAAGATATGGGCTCAAAAAACAATGTCAAACAGAGATACATATAAATACTCTTTTTTAAACTTTTTATAAACATGAGCAGCAAAAGACAAGAATACTGGAACTTGGTAACGAAGCAAGGGTTTCTCTGGGCTTACCTCTGCCAACACAAAAGCTAAGCACTTGACGTACTTATATCAATCATATATCAACAGTCCAAAATTCAGACAAAATGATTTTGGGGTCACAGATGTACCGAACACAAAAGAAGCATAAATCCAACATTTTTCTATCTGGGCTTCAATAAGAAATTTGATTTTTTTTTAATCTTAGGCAAAAATACTTACACAACATATTTTTTAATCTTCAATGTTGTTTATCTTTCCACTTCCGGAGGCCCTTCTGTAGCGTTTCATCTTAAGTCTGAAAAGGACAGCATATTAACCAATTATAAAGGGTATCCTAACTTTGCTAGCAGGGTGACGTTTTCAAATTAAATTATTTAAACACGCCAGAAAAGTCTTCAATATTGGTCCAATAACTACATTAAGAACTCCTAGACCTCAAATAAAACTGAACTTTTCAAAACCGCTCTACATATGAAAAGGATGTGACCTAGGAGTAACTGAAGCAGGAGCCGGGGCAGTTTTGAAAGTGTGTCCTTGAAAGAGTTTTTCTATTGACACCGAGTCTTCCCTGGAAAGAAGCGTGCCTTAGTTTCCCTTCTACTCTGGACACCGGGCACACTGTTTACCAAATGACAGTTGCCTTGCAAACTCTAAGACCTTTGGGGGATTGGGTTGCATGCTGACTGAGGGGCTATAAAGAAGTGAGAATGCCAGGTTTGAAACAGTTGCGCTTCAAGGTTCTCGTCCACGAAGGGTGGAGACTGCACCTAATAGTGCTGGAAATGTTACATGACACCACACCAGTAAGTGCTGATATATCAGACAGTCTCACGAATTCACCCATTTTTACACCTGTCAGTCTACATCTGCTTCATTGTCATGCATGGGATGAAAACAGCACCACGAAACCAGCCGAAACCTACTCTCTCAGTTCCAGAACCTGTGACTTCCTCAGAGGAAATTTACAAGAATTCGTTCCCTTTACCAGACACCCCGCTGTCAACACGGGAACCAATGGGGCGAGAAAGGACGGTAACTAATACACCCCGGAAGGAAGACAACCGTCCTGGACCTGCTTCTGGCCAGAGAGCTGTCCACTGAGGTGTGTGCCCTAGTGGACGAGCCTTCCCGCATCAGGGCTGCCGGGCCATCCCGGGGGCTTCGGCCCTGCCCTGCTTGCTCCGCCAGCTCCGCGCGCGCCCGGAACCCCGGCGCCCGGCTGTCAGGGCCTGCTAGGCCTCGACCGCAACCTCCAACCTCCGACCTCCGACCCCGCGTCCCCAGCCCCGCGCCACAGCCGCGACCCCGCCAACCTCCCCGGAGGGACTCGCCCGGGAAGGCGCTACCCATCTCACGACCGCCCGGCCCTCGCTGCACGCAGCCTCGCGAGCTCTTCTCACCTGACGGCGCGGCAGGCCCGAGCCGGGACCTCCGTCGATGCCCGCACCCTCAGCTTGCGCAGCTCCAGCTCCGCCGCCGGTAGCCTCGGACGCCCATAGGGCGGAGGAGCAGAGCCCGGGCAGCAGCGGAGGCCAGCGGCACTGCGGCGACGTCAACCGGCGGCGTCTCACGTCAGGGCGTCGGCGCCTCGGGGCACGCCACTCTGGCCCCGCCCAAGGACCGAGTGGGCCCCACCCCTCATGACCGGAGGCGGAGCCGAAGAAAACCCGGCCCGGCGGGTAGGCGGGGCCTATGCGAGGGGCGGGGCCTAGGTCTGGGGCAGGGCTCTGGCTCCTGGGTGAGACCTGGACCGAGGGGCGGGGCCTGAGCTGCGGGACCTAAGCGAGGACTCCAGGCGAAACCTAGGGGCGGGTCCGGGAGGCAAAGGAACCTCGAAAAGGAACTCGAAGAGGGACGAAGCCTGAGCCGAGGGGCGGGCCCGTGACCATAGAGTGATACCTGGTCTGAGGGGTCACTAGTCACCGAAAATTTGAAACTACCTTGCTCCATATTCAAAGTGGGGAGGTAAACGCCGTCCTGATAACGTGGATAGTACAGTCAACATAGGAAAAAGAGGCCCAAAAAGGAGAGTCAGATTTCCGTACGGTGTGAAAGGAGTGCTCACAGATGTACTTGTGTGAAACGCTGACACAGGAAAACAGCCAAATACATTATTATTCTAATAATGGCAGTGGTTTGTGCTCGCCACGCTGGATATGATTTAGCAAGTGATTCAAGGCTAACAACTTTCTGTTAGGACAGATACTTAATCCGTGTGTTTCTTATGCACAAACAGTGTAAAGCAAAACGTTAAAATGAAAGATTGCAGATGCTTGGAGCGGAGTGGAAAGTGCTCCTACAACTTGAAATGGGAACAGCAAGAGTAAACTGTTGAGCAGGACGTAGACACTTGCTTATCCTCCCTAAGATCCGCAAAGAACATTCTTATCCTCCTTTTTCTCCAATTCACAAACTGAAGACATAAGGCTTAGAGATTAGAAATACATTTCCAGTCTAGAGAGCTAGGATCTGAACCACAGTTTCCAGTTCCTTCTTTACACTAGCTCTGATTCTGAGAGCTCAGGTCATCTCAACATTTCTACAAGGGGGTGGTAGTGTCTGCTCTTAAGCAGATATGAAGTCAGATATAAGGCTGCAAGAAAAAGAAAACAAAAACAAAACGAGGGACCGCAACTAATTTTAAGGAATCGAGCTCCAAACAGAAAAGTATCCCACCACAAGTTCTTTGAACTAAAAGTGACCTAGATATGATCCAGGTCCTCCCAAACAAAACTAAACAAACTAAATTGCTCCAGAGATAAGAGGAAGATTTTAGAATGGCAAGATGAGAGAGAGAGGTATAATTCACTGCAGATTTCCTCTACAGTGAGTGAGGAACTGGGAGAATCTGGACACTTCTGCCTCTTCTTTCTTCCCATCCCTATGACTGAGAGCCTCCCGGTGACTACAGGTATTTGTGAGATAACATCAAGATGGATTATTTATTTTAGAGCCTCTCTATTTAAAAGGCCTATAACCATGGGAAGATAAACTGGCAGTTCATGTGGCTCACGACACCTACATAGCAATGCCTCCTGGATTCCCTGACCTTTCTCCTACCTTCACTTTTCTACCAACATGTCGCCAAGAAGGAGCTATCAAAGGAACTGCCTCCAGAAAATATAATGTGAGCTGGGCATAGCACAGCATCATTAGAAGCTGAGGCAGGAGAATCTTGGGTTTAAGACCAAAGAAGAAAGTTCTGGGCCAGTTCAGGTTACATCAAAAGATCATGTTTCAAAAAATCAACAACTAAAAGAATTTAATGACAAAAGCCATCTAATGATGTTTTATGTTATAACATTTTACTTAGAAATTATGACCAGTTCACAAGAAGTTGCAAAGATCACGCAAAATGACCTTGGGCACTTATGCACTTCCCTCTGGCTGTTCTATCCTATACACGCACAGGACAACATGAAAAACATATTCTACACACAGGTACCGTGTGTGTAGCTAGGTGCCATTTTGTCACCTGTAAGCTCATGTAACCAACACTGCATATCACCACGGAGATTACCTTCCTGCCGTTTTTATGGTCACTCCCCACTCATTTCCAGTCTTAGTTACGGTTTTATTGCTGTGAAGAGACACCATGAGCCAGAAACTTACAAATGAAAACATTTCATTGGGGCTGGTTTACAGTTTCAGGTTTAGTCTATAATTGTCACAGAGGGAAGCACGGCAGGAGGGGGGCAGCACTCAGGCAAGCATGGTGCTGGAGAGGTAGCTCAGAGTTCTACACCTGGATCGGCAGGAAGCAGAAAGAGAGAGTGACACTGGACCTGGCTTGAGCTTCTGAAACTGTGATATACTTCCTCCAGCAAGACCACATCTACTCCAACAATAATGCCACTCCCTGTAAGTCTATGGGAGCCATTTTCATTCAAACCAGCACCTATCTCTAATACCTGGTGTCATGGATAGTTTATGTCAACTTGACGCAAGCCTAAGTCTTCTGAGAGGGGGAACTGCAATTAAGAAAATGCTTCTATATGATCTGGCTGTAGGTAAGCCTATGGACATTTCCTTAATAGTGATTGATGTGGGAGGGTCCAGCCCCTTGTGGGTGGTGCCATTCCTGGGCTGGTGGTCCTGGGTTCTGTGATAAAGCAGACTGAGCAAGCCATGGTGAGTAAGATAGTAAGCAGCACCCCTCCATGGCCTCGGCATCAGCTCTGCCTCCAGGTTCCTGCCCCCACTATTTTTGACAATGAACTGTGATATGGAGCTGTGAGTGAAATTAAGACTTTCCTCCCCAAGTTCTTTTTTTTTCCACAGTGTTTTACTGCAACAATAGAAACCTGGCAACCACCAATCTGGGTTCTTGTGGCTGTGCTGATCAAAAAGGAAAAGACCAAGATCACAGGCATGCTCAGCACTTACCACATCTGGTCAGCCACAGATGGGGGAGTTCAAAGGGCTTTCAACACTGAAGGGAAGACCTACAAGTGACCTCCCTGGAGACAAAGCCAAGTGATGAACATGGACAGCAGGATGAGTGAAGCTCAATGCCCTATCAGTTTCACCATGTTCTCACACTCTTTGGTGAGAAACCAAATAGCACAGATGCTAAAGAGGCCCCCAGAAATAGATTTGGCTGCGTCATGAAGCTTGAGGTCAGAGGACTTTGGGGAGATCAAGGTTAGCCTGGGCTACAAAGAGAACTTCAAAGGAGCTTGTGCTTCAGAGTGAAGTCCATCTCTGCACTCCACCCAAACAAAGAAACGCCTGGTGCTGTGCAAGAGCAGGATCAGCCAAAATTAAGCACAGATGAAAATGCCATAGAGTAACCTGCTAGTTTGTAAACCACACAGATTTGTTCAAAGGAAGGAAGGAGAGAAAAAGGAAGAGATAAGGGATGGGAATGGGGGGGGGAATTTCTACCTAATAATAAGTCTGAAATGATGCATGAAAATATAAATGAACTAGTCAAAAGTGTACAAAGATTAGTAAGTAAATGAAAATATGTTCAAAATCTTTGAATAGCAGGGAAATACAAATCAATATGTCAATTAAATGTCTTTTTATACCCACTCTAGTGATCACAATGGAAAAAAAAACAACAACAAACTGGGAATAGTGGTATAGGCCTGCAAACACAGCTATCCGGGAGCCTGAAGCAAGGGTATTACTTAGTCTGGTCTGGGAAACATGGCAAAACCCCATTTCCAGAAACAACAAATCAGCAGATTTAAAAGGTTATATATTGGAGAGGATATGGAGAAACTGGAACCTTCTTTTGTTGCTGATAGGAATTCAAAGCCACGTAACCACCATGGAAAACAGTTTGAGACTTCTTCACAATGTTGAACATAGAGCTGTCCAGTGACCCAGCAATTCCACTCTTCTGTGTATGTCCAAGAAAACTAGGAACACTCTGTTCTCATAAAATGAATATCCACGGCTGGGAACCGACTGCTTGCTGTTGAAATGGGCAAGTTCATGAAATCCGGGAAAGTGGTGCTCATCCTGGCTGGATGCTACTCCAGATGCAAAGCTGTCATCGTGAAGAACGTTGGTGATGGCACCTCAGACCGCCCTTACAGCCATGCCCTGGTGGCTGGAATTGACCGCTATCCCCGAAAAGTGACAGCTGCCAAGGGCAAGAAGAAAGTCACCAAGAGATAGATCCAAAATCAAGTCCTTTGTGAAGGTCTATAACTACAACCACCTGATGCCCACAAGGTACTCTGTGGACATCCCCCTGGACAAAACTGTTGTCAACAAGGATGTCTTTAGGGACCCAGCCCTGAAACTCAAGGCAAGGCAGGAAGCCAAGGTCAAATTTGAGGAACAATACAAGACAAGGAAGAACAAATGGTTTTTTCAGAAGCTTCGCTTTTAGGTATATTTTTGTTTACATCATTAAAAGTTTTTTAAAAGTTTAAAAAAAATGAATATTCACTGTAGCATTACTGGCTCACACTAGCCCAAGAAGTCAAATAATCCCATTCCAATACTCAAGTGTTCACACCTCATCATCCTCCCTGTGGCCAGCCTGTCTCCCCAGCTCCACAGGTGTAGGCCACATCAGTCAGAAGAAGAGGTGAGCAGCCTGCCTGGCCACTGAACTGCCCCACTCCCAAGATTCTGTTCCCCAATACCCATCCCACAACCTTTGCCCTCCCTCCTCATCACCCCAGCCACTGCTGAGCCCTTTCCCCAATCCCAGCAAACTTCCACTGCTTAGGTATGTGGAAGCTCAAAAATGTGAGCCTATTTCCACCTTGTCTGAAGGTCAGAGAGTTTTAGCTTGCTCAAAATTGTTAACAAGTGTGGCTACACACCCTGACCTAGGGTGTGGTTACTTGGTATTTTGGACATTAAGATGGCCCTTACAGGTAGATCCACTCCACCCTGACCAAAGGTCGGAATTCTAGCATACTTCTGCTTCTTTTGAATTAGGAGGTTTGACCTAGGGAGTGGCTGCCTTCAGGATACTTGGTCTAGAGTGGGTTCACTGCCTAAACAACTGCATGTTTTTCTCAAGATTTAATGAATCGACATCTCAAGTATTGAAGCAAGTAACTGTTCTGGTTGTTCTTTGTATCATGTTTAAACA